TTTAAAAGATGCTTTGATTAATAATTTGAGCCGTTTTCTCATAACAATTTTTCCCATGAGCAGGTTGTGAAAAATGTAATGTGAAATATTAATTCATTTTCCTGATGACAAAATTATTTCATTTTATTAATTCATTTAATTTAAAAAATTAAATTTATTTAAAATAAAATGTATTTTTATTTATTTTTTATTTTATTTATTTAAAATAGAAATTAATTCATTTTTCTGATGACAAAAAAGCCATTCCTTGGTAAAATGAGGTTAAACATTGGCTGGCTTCATGATTCATAACCTTCAAACATTTCTGTGATATAAGAAAGCCTCAGTAAAACTGAGGTTCTAAACCAAGATCAGTGTCTCTAATAAACACACATATCCTGACTCTCATTGAGTCAGGATATCCTGACCTTCCTTTTTCCCAACAGCCATTTCTTTTGTTTCTGCATGTTGGAAATGCTCCTATCTAAAATTGTGAAGAAATAGCTAAGAATCTGAGTCAATTAGTTTATAATTTTATAAAGTACTTGGGATCTACCAATTCCATAGGCAGTAAGGCTCACTGAAAAAGAGAAACATGTTTTGTGACATTTTGTGGCTGGCTGGGGAAGCCCAGATGCTGCTGAAAGCCCAGCAGGGTTATGTTGCTGTGGCAGATAAACTTCAGACCCACATCCCCCTGCCTTGTTGGCATGCAATGGCCACAGCCCTGGATGTGAGGAAAAAAGTGTCCAAGTCTTGTCACCTTAGTCACAAAGGGTTAACTCCACAGAAATCTTTCTCTTCTCACACTTGTTATTTTGTTCAAATTGGCGCTTAAAAAATACACCTCCATTTTTCTTCTAAATGTCCTGATGCAAAGGTTTCTTCAATGAATTCCAAACCTTAGTCCCTCTGGGACAGTCCAGGGTGTGACTCATAGATGGGGACTTTTTGCCTCTAAGTAAAATAGTTGACTTTTCCTCCATCTACCACTAAACCTTGTCAAGAAAGAATTTTGAAACACCAGCAGCCTTTGTAGGCCTACTTCACACAAACAAGTGTGTATTCACCAGCTTCTAAAACATGAACAAGTAAGGAATCCTGCCACTAAATAGGTGCAAGCCTGGCACCAAATTTAACACTGTACCAGGCCAAGCAAGTGCCAAGGGGCAGAGCAAACTGCCCCTGCTCTCCAGGCAGCCCTGATTTTCTTCTGAAGGACAAACAAAGGGGCTTGCAAAGTTTTCACCTTGTGACATTAAATTATCCATCGTGACACCAGAAATGAAGTGAAGCATAATTCTGGTATTTTATCCCTGAGGGAAGTTACAGCCACCCTGCTGCCCTCACTGGCACTTCTCCAACAGCCAAGTTCCTCAATCAGCTGCTGGCAGCAAATTGTTTTTTCTCCCCATCTTTACCATGTCTTCTGCTTTCCTGCAGTCCATCTAAGAACCTTTGCTTCATGAAGAGCACAACATGTGACACTCACTCAGACATTTCAGAGATAAAATCATTGCACACTCTAGTGATTAAATACAGCCTTTATTACAGAAACACCAATAATAGAAAAATAAAGAGCATATCTTACTTCTCATAGCAAGTTATTTTTAGCAGTCATACATCATAGCAAGCTAGAAGTGATCAGCCAAGCCACGTTCAAATACTCAAGATGCCCATCTAATCTCCCTTCCTCTTTCAACTGAATTAACAGCTGTTTCTTAATTTGTGCTTGTCCATCAGAGAACAGAAAGGACTGAAAGAAATTAAACCCTGCTTTTTAAACTCCTCAGTGACTTGTCTAAGTGTGACATCATTGTGTTTCTGGGATACCCTCATTTTGTCTTGGGTGTGCAGAGACCACAGGGGATGGTCTGGCATGGGAGCTGCAGCAGAGCACCAGGGAGCCATCAGAATGTGGGGATGTGCTCCTAGTCCTGTGATGGCCCCATGGCCTCCTGAGCAGCACACACTTGCACTGAAGTTAAGCTCTGCTTCCCTGGTGGATGTATCATCAATGTACCACACCATCAATGCATCACATCACCCTGATCAGCACCTTCTGGTTCAGGGCTGGGTTGGTCTGAGCCTGCAGCTGGGGGAAGAAGTGAGCTGGGGTTGCTGAGTCACTCTGGGACCCAGCTGCAGCCTTGTCTCTTCCTACAGCCAAAACTGCCCTGCTGCCCCATTATGGCCCACCTAGTGTGCAAGCCGTTTACCAAATGTCCTCCTTGTGTATGGTGTTCTTTCAGGGACTTTTTGCTCAATATACTTCCCCAGACAAGATTTTCAAAAGAGCAAGTCAGGCAACACCGCAAGTCGGAATTACCCTACAGAGTCATCCCAGTAGGAGGGAGACCTCAAAGCCACTCCATTAGGTAAAAAACTGCCAGCTAAAATATTCCTATATTCTGGCAGAAAATAATCATGGGCATCAGCTTTTAGAACTGCACATAGCAGCTCAGGGAGCAGCTGCACTGTCTGATTCTAATTCAGCATTAAATCTGGAGAGGCAACACTCCCTGCTGTGCTGACACATCTCTGCTGCCGGCTGGTTGGGTTTTGGGATCAGGGACGGAGGTGAGGCTGGGCCACAGATGGGAGAAAGGCTGCACTTCAAGGCTGGGATGTCCTGGTGCAGTAAGGATTTCTCCAATGGATACTCTGCTGCTGTAAAGCACTAACTCCATTGGATTAATTTTGCTGCATGTTGGCAGCATTTCCTCTGAGCATCCAATCATTTCATTGGTTTGCACCACGTGCACTTCACCGGTGCCACTTAGAGCAAGCCCAGAGTATCATTCATGTACAAATGGCAGAATGCAGCTTCATAAAAATAGCAAACAAAAAATAGAAAGAAAAAGCATAAGAACAAATAAGATAAATCTGAACCCAAACATTGTTCAATACTAACACGTTGATTCACTGTAGAAAGAAAAAAAACCTATGGAGGAAAACATTATTTGTGCATCACTAGTAAAAATGCCAGATGTCACTATATTAACCACAGAATTAGCAGTCATTAGTAACTCTTTTCTGTCCTCATGCTCATATCAGACTTTTTAAAAAGACTGACTATTAACATAAAGCAATTTTTCAGAACAGAAGAAGCAAATGCTATATCCATGTCAGTAGAAGTAACACAGATCACACAGTCCAGCAACCCAAAGAACATGTGAAATGGGACTCAGCTTTGACAAGGGAAAGATGTCTGATCCCTGTGCAGAACAGCCTGGGGCCAGGCCATGTGCTGAGCTTTTTAGGCAGCTTTTGTTAAAATGGCCACATGTAGCAGACTGGGACAGCGACATCCCCACTGCAGGCACAGGCTCATTTTCAAATGGAAGCTCTTCATCCATTTACCTTTCCTCCCAGACATGTCATTTTTTTTAAAAAAGGTGAATGCTTTAATTGAGTATAAAAATCTGCATTCTAAGCAACAGATTCATTGCATTAAGTAACCCTGAGAATTAGAGGGATCTTATTAGGCCCAAGGTCTGAGTCCAATGGCTGCTTGTCTGCTAAGGGGAGAAGGAGGAAGGGAAAATGAGCTCAATAAAGCTCATTAAGCATTATGAACAATGCTGGAGCCCTTTTGCAAAAGAATAATTGAAATACTTATATTTTAATTTGAGTATTCAACTGAATACAGTCCAAATCATGGTGTCTGTATTCAAGGCTTGAAAGTTTGGTGTCCTATTTCTTGTGCTGTTTTACCTTATAAATGTATTCAGCTGTTCCTGTGCTCACAGCTGGTTCTGATGTTTCTCCAAGTGTAAAAGTGCTTTAAAATTGTCTTTATCTTTCTTATTTATTGGTTCATTCAGACTCAAAGGGAACATTTCTAGAGAATGGTAATTACTTCCACAGCTACATATTATACTGATTATAGAGCATTATGGCTATGTTTCCTGCTTCACACAGACCAACATCTCTAATTCATAGAATGGAAGAATTTCTTTCTTCATTTAAATAAATAAACTTGCAATGGTGAAATATTAGTAAAATATCAAAACTATTTTTAAAATACTTAAGGGAATATCTGATATGACATAACCATCAATTTTATCCAGTGAAAATCCAGTGAAGTTTCATCACCATTAATAACTGTGCAGGATTTGGGCCATTATTCATAGAAATTAAATTAACTCCCAGCATTTCCTTTTTGTTTAGATACAGATTAAACTGTCAAGGCATTTTTGCCTATGACTTCATCTTTCTTTTGTTTAATGAGTGCCATTCCACAGCCCTTTTCCAGGCCAAACTTTTATTAGTAAAATTTAAGCCATTAGCCTAACTCCTTGGAGGAAGTGTGCTCTTACTGAATATTATTTTCTCTTTTGCAAATGCTTTTGTACATAATTTCTTATCATCTTGATGTCATTTGCTTCAGCGAGCAGATTGTGTGGCACGTGCACATGTGTATGTGTCTGTATGTGCACATTTCTGCACGTGTAAATCTTTTGTGACAAGGAACTTTGCCTTCTTACAACAAAGAACATGAGCTGGACTTAAATCTCAAAAGCAATTACTATTCTCATGCCTTCATCATTGTTTCAGCAGGAAATAGCCTACAGAGTGTATCAGTGTGCTTTAATATTGATTATTTCCATATGAAAATCCAGCTGCTCAGATGTGAGCACACTGGATAACACTCACTTTTGGGCAGATTTGTCCAAGGCCTGTGCAAGCTTTTATTTCCCACTGAAACCCTGACCATACAGCATCAGTGGATTTCCATTTCTTGTGGATCTCATGCAGGTGCCCCAGTGGTGGCCACTTAATCCCAGGCATTTCCAGTGAGTGTGGCATCTTCCTGGACTAAGGGACCACCCTGCTGCCCAGCAGAGGACATTTCCTGGGCTCAGTGTGGTCACTGTGACAGGTCCATGTCTGAACTGCACATGGGGGATTCCTGAGCTCTCACAAGACCAGGAACATCTTCAGCTCCAGGGTAAGAGTCACAATTACCACTCTGCATTAGTGGGAGAGCTTAGGAAGTATAACTGTGTGTAGGAGTGGTGAGAACTTGCTTGAGAGTGGAGTCACACTGACAATTCCCCTGAGATTTTGGCACTCACTGTGTTCTGAAAAAAGCTTTCAGTGAGCTCTCACCTAGCAGGGTTGTCTGTAGCTGTGGGCCTCTGGTTTATTCACCTGAAGGTCAGACTTACATCTTTTGATAAATCTAACCATCATTAACAAACCTGATGGATTTTCTGGGGGATAGTGATACTGCTTGCTTTAAGCTATTTTTAGGAATCTGGCTTAGGTGATCTGAATGACCTCCTTTGTTAACAACAGAGAGAATTTAGGCACCTCATTTTGGACTACATCTAAATTAGATGCTAGGAATAGCCTAAAGCAGAAGGTGTGAGTTCTCTCCTTTCCACCTTAAAAGAACACCTTCCAGAAACATTCATTAGCTGTAAACACACAGTGTCATCTCACTTAAAAATGTGGCTTTAGGGCAGGGAGATTCCAGGCAGAAGCAAAAGCTCCCGTGACTTCTCTGCTTGCTGCACACACTTGGAAGGAAAGAGGCAGATGAACCTCAGATGCGTTCATATCCTCTCTGTGGCTTCCTCCTGGAGATCAGGAAGGTGGCAAACACAATGACAAACAATCCCAGGATGCTCAGGCACACTGCAATGGGAGCTACTTTGGCGTTTCTATCAAGAAAACATTCTTCTTCTGAAAAGAAAAGGAGATCAGAGAATGTTAGACCAGAACACCATACTCCTAAACCGTATATCTGCATTCCAGTAAAACTGGCAAATACGAGCCAGAAGTTCTCAAAACCTTGCTTTCTTTAGTTTTTTTCTTTCTTTTTCCTATATACTTACTATATAGTATATATACTATACTTACTACACTGTATTTATTACACTTTTTATCTGTGGTGAGCCTTATCTCAAGAAAACCATCCTTGTCCCTTCTGCAGTAGCTCTGTGCTTCCCTGGAGAGTGGCTCTTCTCCCTCACATCTGCAGGAATTGTTTCACCACTCAGCACACACACAGCAGGGGCTTTCTTCCCAAAAGTAGATGGGAGCACCACAATACAAAGTGCCAGCCTGAAAATAAAGAGCAAGACATCCTGCATGGTCAAAACCTGCTCCTGTGTGACATCAGATTGCCTCTTCCCAGTGAAGAGGAATGCTGCTCTGAGTGGCAACTGCAGAGCAAACTGTTCCCTGAGCAGGGCAGTGTGCTCAGCTAAACCCCACAGCTAAACCCCACACACAGCACATCCCAGCTCAGCAGCAAACCCAGTTTATAGCCAGGATAGATCCAACACCCTGTGCCCCCTCACTCCCTGGGACTGTTCTGAGGCAGGATTGACAACACTCTGAGATCAAAACCTCGACTCTTATTCCATGACTGTGCTGGCACAGGTTGTAGCTTGGCTTGGGCTTCTCCCTCATGGGAATTTTATACTGTCAGTGGGCAATGAGCCCAAGGAACATGTGGAGTCCATGACATCATGTCACAGCTCCAGAGCCTCCACATGGCTCTTCCCAAAGTCTGATCCTCTTCTGCGCTAATCCAGATGGTGATGCAATGCCACAAAGCCAGCAGCATGAGCATTCTATTAGAGGTTGCCTTTTAAAAGCTGTCTGGTTAATGTAACCTGCTGTTAAATGAGCTGAAAAGTATTTGCATCTAAGTGTTGTAAAAGCCAGAAATGTTTGAATAGGCCATTTTGCTTTGATGAAGCATTGGGAATGAAGGAATGAACTCTATGAACTCAGGAAACTGTTTTGATACAATGAAGTACAGAAGGCTCTTTTACAGATTTCTAGACTCAAACAGATCAAGCTATTGATATTACCTCTGTAATCTGTACAAAATTGTAAGGAACCTGAAACCAGTGACCATTAATGTTTTATTTTTCTTCCCCATTTAAAGATAAGCAAATCAGGAGCAACAGAAGTGAAACTATCAGTCTTGCGACTCCTGAGGGGAGGAGGCTGATGATGTTTAGTCATTCCTTCACTGGGGATTTTCTTTTTCAGAATCTGCACATGCAGCCAATACACCACAGTTTCATGACTGTTTTATAGCCACAGGGGAATTATTTCAGAGGTGGGAGCTGCTTTCTCAGCTCTCTGATTAAAAGCAAAACTAATTTAAATTTGTACATGGTATTGACTAGCAGAGATTAGTCTGACTTGGAGAGAGAGGGAGGAACAGAGAGCACCTTTCTCAGCTGAGTCTCTCCTAGAGGTGAGACTATATCCAATCCCATAAGTAATATCATTCATTGTACACATTTGAATGGGAATGCAGGGACCAGATGGGATGCCATGAGTTCTTCCAGCTCATTGTTATTCCATGAAAAAAAATCTCCACAGAATGAAAGGATAGATGGGATTCTCAGTGTGGAGAAGGACTATGTCTTTTAAAAGCCCCAAATGTTGTTTCCCAATATATTCCTTTTAGAATGGAGAAGGTAACCAAAATGGTGACCTAACAGAAGAATTGGTCAAGTAGAGCCAAACTGAGTCAAAAGACAGATCTAAAGTAAAAAGAATACAGGGGCAATATTTTGTAAGCACACAGAAAGACAAGTGGCAGAAGAGAAAATGTCTTACTGCTGCATCTGAAGGGCTGGAGAGCTGGTCAGCCCCTCTGTGCACCTGAGTTCTTGTATGGAAATGCTCTGGGAGGAAGCCACAGAAATGAGAAAATGGACAACTTGAAAGAGATCACAAGGTCCCACTGAGTTCTCCCCTCTGGTCTTTTACTGAGATACCTGATTGCCTCATTGTGGCACTTCTCCAAGAAAAGACAAACTGAAGAGATGAGCATCATGTTTAATTCTGAAGCTGGGAGTGCGCCAGCTGTGCTCCTCCTCAGGAGCACATTTCATCATGTCTAGACACAGCTGCTCTGAAAATATCATCCTGCATTCACAAATATCTCTTATTAGCTGGCAGTTTTGCTGCTGCAGTTGAGTATCAGGAGCCTTTTAGAATAGCTAAAATCTGAAATCTGGCTATATTGAGAGCAGTGACCTGGAAATGAACTTTGCACGTTGGGGTGTGGGCAGTGCACTGGTAGTGAACACACCTCTGCTTGTTCCAGGAGAAAATGGATGAAGAAGAAAATTTTGGCTGTAGAGCTGAACATTTTTAATGAGAAGGTGAAACAGAAGGTACTGAATGCAGGAGGGAAAGATATTTTTCCATCCTCCATAGGTATTAGCACTGTGTTGGAAATGACTCAGGAAAGGTTGAGACAACAGCAGTGAGATGTGTATGGGTGTAATTTAGCAGATTACATCCATCAGGCCACCAGAGTGCTGTAGATCTGGGAAGGGTGGAAAAGTATCCTTCTACTCACCTTTTCCAAACTGGTCACCCACAATGTCAAAGGCCTGCAGCTGCATATGAACAAAGAGGATCTGGAAGTTGTTCTCCAAGGGGAAGGTTTGCCTGCTGGCACACTTAAAGGAATTCCCCAGCTTTGTTGTGAACAGCTTCTCATTTAGGGCTGCATAGTAAAGCATACCTGGAGGCCAGAGAGAGACAGATGAGAATCCACACTGACTCCATTGGAACCAACATCTTCCTGAGGTAAAATGGTCCCAGAGGTGAATAAAGCACAGACATTTTCTCCATAAACTATCACTTATTCTTCTTGCATGTTTAAATGAGTGCTTTAACTATCAATGGACAACTCAGCTGAACTTAGGTCTGAAAAAGTGGCTAAAATTTCAGATGCTTCTTCAATTCACATTTTAACAAACTGAGTCTGTAGGAAGGGGTTAGAATTCTCACAGGAGCAGGCAAGGTTTGAAGTAATCTCTATTCTGAAAGAGTGGGGCAGGGAAAGCTTTAGAGATCAAAAAGAAAATGTAATAATAGTGATGTAACTGCAGCCAAGCCCCTTCTCTTCCATTTTTATACCATAAGATTTAGGTGAATCATGCATTGAAAGCTTGATAAAACATGTATTTGCAAAATCCAGTGTTTTAAAGATCTGAAAGTTTATCCCACACCCAGAACAGTTTGATATGAAAATAAGACAGGTTAAAATCACTGACCTTCAGAAGATAACTGTATTCTGCTCTCAATTTTAGTGACAGAGTAACTTGGAGCTTGCTGCAAAAGAAGATGTATCTTTATTCATAACACATGCTCATACTTGCAGGGGAAAGAAACACAGCTTACCTCCACAGAATGGTCATAAGGAATTTCCCAAAGGAACACATCACCTTTGAGACCCAAGAACCAACTCTGTTGGATTTTTTTTCTTTTCCAAATCTCAGCTGCATCACCTGTTCAATGTACTGGGGCCATGCAGGTGTCATTTTACACAAACTGCTCAAGCTGGGCACTCCTCAGATACTTGTGATAATAACCAATAGTAGGAAGATTGCTGGCAAGGAAAGCACCTTGCACAACAGCACAGAACAAAATTCCCAGCCAGGTGTCCTGCCCACATGTGCCCTGAAACCCTGGTGCAGCCTGGACACTGCTCTCCCCTGGGGTGTCACAGGGCAAGAGCCAGCCCTGGGAGCTTCTCCCTGGTAGCAGTGTTGCAGTAAAACGTGATGCCTCATGCAGCAGCCCTGCTACCCTCTTTAATTCCTGCTGTGGGCACAAAGGGATTCATGAGTGCAGCTGGTGGATAAATGGCATGAATGTCTCCTGTGCACTTGTAGGATGGAATGGGGAAAACTGAAGAAAGAAAATGCACCAGAGGAGAGGTTCTCAGCATCATTACAACTTAAAGACATAAATATGACCATTTTTGGATGGCAGTTCTGTTTGGCCACAGTTAAAAACTTTGCTTGGGGAAAACACCTGCTCCTACTTCACATCTTGTGGGTTGGTTACACAACTTCCTTTTTTCAAGCCCTTCACAGAGGCCACTGGAGTGGTGAGCACCGAACCAGCCCCTCTCCTCTGCCCCCCCAGCCCCAGGGCCTGAGCCAGCTCCTCTCCCACAGGGACGGCCACAAGTGGGGACCAAACACAAAAGGCCAGCAGCAAACTGTTTTCTTATTAACTTGAATTTCAAAGCAGTCCAAGCTGAGCCCTGCTATGCTCTTGAGGCTTATCTTTAAGTGGAGGGTGCATTGTCTAATGCTGTGCCAAAAACCACCTTTTTCAGGGCAAGGCAGGTCAAGCACCTCCTAAAGGTTCACATCACTCTCCTCAGCACTGCTGCAACCTGGGAGCTTTCGTGGGTACTTGAATCCCCAGCCTTTCCCTAAGGATTCTTGTAACACCAAAAATGTTCCTCTTGTTGCAGGAAGCACACATTTAAAGCAAACACTCAAAGTCTGAACTGATCCTTTGTTTTGAAGGAGCTCCTTCATTTTTTACCTTACTTTTCTTTTTCTCTGTACCTCTTAGAAAACTTTTAGCCACAAGTGAAAATGAAGATGACTACTAATCGAAATATTTTCTCTGTTCAAGAATTAATGACACATGTGGGGTATAATTTGCTGTTCTCTCTTGGACTTTTTATGAAAATGACTGATTGACCACTTGTACTTTTCTTAATTGTCTCTAATTTGAGCCTGGAACCAGGCTGCAAGACTGACATTTATCTTGATTAATTGAAGGACACAGATCAGCAGTGGTGGCCAGACGCAGCTCTCAGCTGCTGTGGAGCTCCAGGACATGGACTTGATGTTCATTACACCTGCCAGAGTTTAATGGGATCCAGCCATGTTCCTGCCCATTCCTCCCTGCCCATAAATGACTTTATTCACAGTGTTAGTTCTGTTTTACCTCTGCTGGCATCATCACCCAGCCCCTACAGCTTTCAGGTAAACAGTGCTGCCTTCCAAAGTGTGCAAATCCCTGATTTAGCAAGAGGATGGCTGTACTCAGGGATTTTCTCCTGTGCTTGTAAAAGCTGCAGCACTCTTGGCAGCTTGCGTTAAAGCCACACCTGCATGTGGTGTGGCCCCAGTGGGGAACATGGAATTCATAGATACAATGTCAAAAACAAAGTTCAGTTTCCCACTGTGTAAGCAGGATCTCTCATCTTGCCCCAGTTTTTGTGTGTGTTTATAGGTCTCCCTGGTGTGGTGCATTTTAAGGCCACTTATCTACAATTTTGTTGTTGCAGTTCACTTGTTTGGAATTCTCCACTCAGAAATTTGATGAAATTTGACTCCTTCAGCTGTGGATGTGTCATGGCTCCTGGGCACTTAAACTGCACAGGCTGTCCTTTGAATTTGACAACCCCAGCTGGCTTTTAGGGGGCACAAATGGCTGACAGCAACTTGACAGTGAGAGTCAGAGCTCCCAGCACACCTTGTTCCCGCACAGGGACTCCAGTCCCAAACCCTTTCCCTCTGCACCACTCCCGTGCAAACAGCAGATCTGACCCCCCCTACCATGAGACTTTTACCTATGTAAAAAAGACTCAGATTTTGCTTGGCTATTCCTAGGCTTTGTGTTCCTTGAGGGACAGCTTTAACACTGCTCTCTGGCACTTTCTGTCAGAGGATGGCACAGAACTGTGGTTACTCTTCCCTTCCAAATGGAAAGTTCAAACAGAGCTGATTTAACACTGAAGTCAGCTGTACTGTGAGCACAACATTGCACAGGCAGCCTCCAGAAGTATTTTCCAATCTGAATTAATTAAAGCATGGTTCTCTGGTTCTGGCCTTTTGGGAAGGAGTAACCATGCCTTATATACAGATGGAAAACAATCATAGAGATAGATAAAATGCCTTTTCCCATAGCTCAAGCTGGATCAAAGGCAGCTTTGTTCTTGCTTTCCAGTCCTAAACACTCCTTCCCTCTAAATGCAACAATTACCTTTACAAAGATGATGTTTACAAATCCTCCACTAAAAGTTAAGTTCAGCTCAGACTGCACCATCCCACAGCTTCCAGATATCTTTGTCATATTGGGGTTGACAGTCACGTATTCCATCTGCTCCTGTGGAGAAAAGAGACATTGCAGGGCTACTGATGAATGAAAGCAAACATGCAGGGACTTAATAACTTTAAAACACATAGAGATTTGCCCTTTTTATGCCCCCAGACAGGCTCTGTGTGGCTGAATGAACAGGCTAGTGGTGGCAGCTGAACTGCTGCCTGCCAGGGTTGTTCCCCACTCACAAACCAGCACTGGTGGTTGTCTGACACATCACTGAACTGTTCCAGTGCATTAAGCTGGCATAAAATATTTGGTTTCTGTTGATTCAGTGAACTGATGATTCAGGCAGAGTCAGGTGAGTATGAGTGGTAATTTACAGAGAGGGAGTACCTCATGTTATTATCAACATCTCACTGAGGTCTGGTGAGGTTGGGAATCCTGCTCCCTTCCTGGCTTCTGACAGGACAAGGGATGAAAATTACCTTTACCAACATTAGTCTCTCTTGCCATGTTAGAAATATTCATATATCAAACATGAGTATTTGTGTTTGTAACAGGGATGGAATAAGAACTCCAGAGCCTGAGGATGTAGCTCTTATATGGTGTATTAATAGGGGCAACAAAAACTTAAGCCTGAGGGACACATTTGCCATTTCAGGTTATATGGCATCTTTTGCTGAATCATTCTCAGTGGATCACTTCTAGGAGAGAGGAGCAGCTCTTCACGACCTGGCAGTTCCCATGATCCTAAAATGTCCATACATCAGCATCAGGACAGCCCACCTCTAAATCTAAGTCTGTGAACTGGCAATTTCTTGCTTTCACTCCAACTCACAATGTCAAGCTCTTGCTTGAAGTCAGTTCAGATTTTAACTAACCTCCCATTGTGGGAAGCACAAATAACTCTGCAGGCTGATCCCCTGCCCCAGCATTGCTCCCACACAAATATCACTGAAGTAAGAGAGCACCTTTACATCCCCTTGGCATCATCATCACACAGGCCAAAGTACAGCAGCGGGGATACTGTGGCATGAGAGGCCTTAGACTGGCAGCAAACCATTTCTTTTGATCATAGGAGCTAATTCTGAAAATGGCTTGGAAAGAGGAAGAATAAACTCCAGCTAATGACTGAAGTCACTACAGAGCTCAGCTTCCCCCTCACCTGTTGTGTATTTCGGGCCATCAGCTGCAAGCCCATGACGGCTTTGACACAGGTCCTGTTCCCCTCAGAAACAGTGTAGGTGCCTGTGGGGATGGCAGAGGGCTGTGGGGTGGGAGGGGGTCTCACAGTGCTGCCAGGGGACGTGGGAGCTGTCTGTGTTCCTGCAGGGGTGCCTGTTGTGTTGGTCCCAGCCGTGGCTGTTGGATCACCCGTGGCTGTTGTTTGTCTCCGTGACCGCGTGCTGGGCCCGGCCCTCGGCGTGCTGGTGGCAGCTGTCCCCTGGCTACTCGCTGTCTCGTGCTTCAGGGAGGTGTTGGTGGCCACTGCTGCAGTTGCTGTGGTCACACGTGGTCCCGTGCCGTGCCTGGTGGAGGACACAGGGGCAGAGGTTGCGTTCTTGGCTGCAGCTGTAAGCGAGGGCACTGCCGTGGTCGCAGCCTGGCCGGCCGTGCTGGGGCTGTCTGCAGGGGCTGGGGACGGTGGTGCTGCTCCTGCCGTGGGCTGGCCTGCAGCTGGTGCTGCCTGCAGCTGCTCCCTTGTCTGCTCCGCCGTTCTGTGGCTTGTGGGTGTTGTTTGAAGAGGGTCTGTGCTGGTGCTTTGATGGGGTGAGGAATGATAAAGGGAAAGTGGCTGAGCAGAAGTAGCCATTTGGTGGAAGGATGTGGTTTCTGGAGACAATTCAACCCCCAGGGCCACTTCAGCAAAGCAGGAGGAAAATGCTGCAAAGAAACTGAAGTCAGTAGTCCAGAAACCTTTACATTTCACTTCTATGTTGATAACCACAACATACCTGCACTAGCTTTGTTATCAAATGGGTTATACAATTTCACTCTTCATTTGGCTCCAGTCATGATAGGAGAATAAAGGCAGACACCCTGTAGGACTATCCACAGCTAGACACCAATACCCTAAGCTTCACACCTCTGAGTATTCCCATTCCAGGGGAGCACACTGGCTCCCAGCTCTCCACACACCTCTGAGTATTCCCATTCCAGGGGAGGACACTGGCTCCCAGCTCTCCACACACTCAGGAAGCAGACCTTGCACAATCCCCAGGTAGCACAAGAATTCCCTGCAGGAGGTAGTTCAGCAGGATTTGCTGGAAGCAAATTGTTGAGGTCTAAAGAAGGTGAAGTGGGTACAGCAGCCAGAGGGGTTGTTGGTTTCTTACCAACAAAGTGTAGGGAGTGGGGATGTGTCTGTGTGTGTGAAGGAAGTGAGCAGTGCTATGGTCTTACAGTGATTCACAAGTCTGGGAAACCACTCTGGGAACAGGGAAATTCCAGGTATTTATTTTGTTGCAGCCATGTCAGCTTGAACCCTGGAGTTCTTCCTCCTGGAAGAACCCAAAGAAAGACCATCCCTCTAAGTGATGGGCTTTCAGAAATGAGAAAAAAAAATTAGGGTGCAAAAAAAAAATAATCCAGGAGCATTTTGGAGCACATCAGGAAATAGTTACAGCACCAAAATTATGCTTTCACCTAATAACATTTACAGACAAAAATGTGTCCTTTGCAGAAATGAAAGAAAAATATCTGGCTCCTAAATGTAAATACAAAAGTGAACAAAAAGTGGGAAAGTACACTGCAGAATATTTGAATGTCACAACTGTTCTGCATGAGTCTTTGTGAGTGTGCAACAAGACTCTGGAGAGACAAGATCCAGTTAAAGAAATAAATCACTGATGTTTGGGAATTCTTTGATGTACATGAAGGTACAGGTGGTTAAATGCTTTACTGCCTAAATTAGTGGGAGGACAGAGATACATTCTCCAGTTTGGAGACAGAAGGGACGCAAAAGTCCAAGATAGCTCATATTCCCAGCAGTACAGCTCCACAGAGAATGCCTCAACATGTCTGAGTTCACTGTACACTGGTTCTTTCAAAGAAATTTATCATGCATCAGTGTCACAGTTGATGGCAGGCAGGCTGCTGAGATTAGAATATCAGGATACATTAACGCCAGAGGCACATTTGGAGTGAAAATGGCTGAAATCTCACAAGGTCTTATTCATTTATTTGTTGTCACTCATCATGAACAGAGATCTTCAATAATAGCTGAATTCATAAAAATCTAACCATTTTCAGATACATGTAAAGTAAGAATAATAAAACTTCTTGGGTTTTGAATCAAATTCAAGATAAAAATCAAAGCAACAAGAGCAGATGCACAGATCTTAACCCTTACCACAATTTTCCCTTTAAAATGGCTATGCTGGAGAAGAGCAGAAATGCAGATATAAATACTCCAAACTCCTAAAATTGCCTGGGTTTCACTCTGAGCTGTACAGAACACACCTGACTGCCACTTTAGGTGTTACCATCAAAATGCAACTTGAGACAGTTGAAAAACCTCAAAAATATTGTGATTTTTCTCAAAATGAACCTAAAAATGCATAATTCATATGATACTTTAGTTCACTTTCTCCCTTTCCCCTATGCTTTGCCACAACTGATGCAGAGCTGTTAATCAGATGACTGATCCCCTTCTGTGGGGCCAGGGGAAAGCCAGAGCAGTTGCCATGCACCACTTATGGGTAGCTGCATCCAAATGTATCAGCATGATAAAAACAAGAAAGAAGAAGTTGCAGTTTTTACTCTTTCTTCCCCTCTAAGACTGTGAAACAATCCATATTTAAATTTACACGACTCCTAAATTGTCTGTAGGTCTTAGTTTTCAGCTCACTGATTGTTTTTGATTACTGACCAGATTACACAGATGTAAAAAGAAATATTGAAGTGACATTAAAATGCCACCCATAGCTTTTAAATAAAACTCCTCAAAAGGTCATTTCAACCCAATTATTTTTCATTGTTCAGCTGGACAGGGTGACCTGAGGGGTGAAGCCAGCAATGTCTTTGGAATGGCCCATGGTTCTTGCTCACTGGGTGACTACCAGACTGTTCCTCCGAGAATTTTGGGGCCAAATGCCAGTGTGTGATGGCCACACTGCTAAATCCATTGGCCTGGGCTTCCCAAAAGGCATTTGGCCACAGCAGCCCCCAGGGATGGCAGGGATCACTCTCTAGCTGCCCCCATTGGCACTGGCTGTGTTTGGGTGGCTGCTGGAGGAGGTTTGGTGGCCCTGCTGGGTGAAGGGGCAGATGGGCCCATGGGTCCCTGACCTGCCCTCCGGCTGAGGCTGGGAAAGCTTCTGTGGCTCCCTGGCATGGCCAGGATCCTCTCTGGGAGCCTGGCACAGCTCAGAAAGCAGCTGAGAGCACAACTCCCCCAGCAATGCCTTTTGTGGCTCTGCCAGCAGAACAGAACAGACCACAGAAACACGAGGAGTGGAGCTCTGCACCCCCAGTAGTTTCCTTTTTTTTTCCCTTCTATAAAGCCAACTCAAAACTTCGTATAAACAACATTTTGTTTGAGGGATGCAAGTGCCCTGGGGTGTATCTTTCCAGAGCAGCAGCTGCAGTGCCCTTGTCTCACTTCAGCACCAAAATTGTGTGTAACAGATGCCGAGGGCTGTGTGAGAGCCCTGACAGCCTCCTTGCAATGCTCCAGAAAAAGCTCCCAAGCTCCCAGAAACGGACCAGCGCAGCTCTCAGAAATCCACTGTTCCCTGTCTGGGCCTGGAGATCCCTTTTTCATGCTTTGGTGACAGGTTTTGGTCACAAGAACATCGCTGCTGTGCTCCCAGCTGTTATGGTGGGAAGCTGAGTGCTCAGTGCCATGGCCCAGCTGTGCCATTTCTCAGCCTGTGCTGGGGTGTGTGACAGACACTCATCCCCTTTTCATCAAACCACACTCATCTCTTCAGCTGCCCAGCAGTGTTGGTTTGCACTAATTATGTTTCATTCCCTGTCTGCATAGAAGGACTTGACTTTGTGACATTAATAAAACATCACAACAAATTATTAAAGGAAAGATCAAAATCAGGTAAAGAACAGAGGAAACAAGTTCTTTCTGGTCAAAAGTGATTGCTGACCACTGAATTATTAGTGTTGCTACTCAGTCTGATCTTGCTCTCCCTTTCATCTCTATGTTTTGGGGCTCTTTCAGCAGCCTTTGGCTATGAAGCAGGCATGGGAAAGCAGAGATACAGCAGGAGCTTGTGGTCAAGTCCCTGGGCACTTTCCCTGCTCATGGACTGGGAGGGGGACAGGGCTGTTCTTTGTGTGATCCCCGTGTGCGATGGCAAAACACAGCCAACAGCAAGCTCAAACCCTTGGCCATCCCACAGATTAAATCACATTTTGTCCTCTTCACCAGGCAAATTTGGTGCTCCTGCAGGTGTTAAGCAGTGACTGGGAGATGTCCTTCATGTGTATGGCTCCCCAGATTTTCACAGGGCAGCATTAAGGATCAGATGGTGACTCTGATGGGGTTTGTCATTGAGAGAAGCCCCAGTCTGACTTCTCCAAGCCCCTGCCTCACTCCTGCTTTCCTGATCCTGCTCTGCATCTTGCAATGCAGATAAATTGACTCAAGCAATGCTTCCTTAGTTTTTCTTTCCTGCTTGTCTCACTCAAGATTTTCAGTTAGATCTGCAGGTCTGGAAATTATTTTTAATTACAAAAAGCAAAGCCAAAAAAGTCTGCTTCTAACAAGGCTTGGAACTGACTCCTTCACACAGAGTTTATGCCACTGCAAGAGTTCAAGGGGAAATACAGAGGAAAACATCAAAAATGAAGTGTATCTTAAAAACTGAATAGGTTGATACACTAAGTGTGTCAAACTGAGGGTACAGCAGCTGCAATGAATAGCAGGTATGGTTATTTCTTAGCAGTGGGACTTTACTGAAAGCATTCTCAGTGTTAGCAACAAACTGTCCAAAGTTTTGAGTCTGTTGGGTGCTGTCCTGACTGCAAGGAAACTAGACTGAGATAATGTCCCGTTTTCCAGGTAGAAATGATGCTGTTACTCACCCCAGGCGAGGGTCAGCGACATGAGCTGCTGTGCACTCCTCCCCATGGCCAGCACGGCTGTGAGAGGCACTGCTTCTCCTGGGAGCCGGTGCAGAGCAAACCCAGCTCTGCTGCAGTCTGAAAAGTTTCACTGGCTGCAGGGAGTGCTCAGTCACATGGCTGGGAAGGAGGTGGAGAGAGAGGGGGAGACCGATGCCTCTCGCCTGTAAATTCACACAGAAGGAAATAAATGATGGTTAGGAAAGAAAGTGAAAAGAGAAGTGACTGCTGGGCTGACTGGGAGGAGACCTGGAGCTCTGCGAGGCCAGAGAAAGCTTTGTGCATCTCCCTCCCTGTCTGACAACCTGGTGCACAGGGCTCCAGCAGAGGGTTACAGCCTGTAAATCAGTGCCTCCCCTGTGTTCTTCAGAAAATACTTTATTTAAGGGCAAACTGCATATTTTATGTTAAGGCACAGAAGGGAGAGGTGTGACTGTGTGCACAGAGCACCGGCTAAAGGTAACACAGGGCTGAGCAGAGCCCCAGACGGGCTCTTGTCCCACGGGCACCATCCTGTGCTGCTGGGCCCGGGGAGCGAGTGTGCACGAGTGTGAGCAAGTGTGCATGAGTGTGTAAGAATGTGAGCAGGTGTGCGTGAGTGTGAGCAAGTGTGAGTAGTGTGCAAGAGTGTGAGTGTGCAAGAGTGTCAGAGAGTGTGTGTGCAAGTGTGTAAGTGTGCAAGAGTCTGTGTGAGTGTGAGTTGTGTGAGAGTGTGAGTGAGTGTGCAAGGGTGGGAGAGTGCAAGAGTGTGAGTGAGTGTGCAAGGGTCTGAGTGTGAGTAGTGTGCAAGGGTGTGAGTGTGCAAGAGTGTGTATAGTGGGAGACAGTGTGAGTGTGCAAGAGTGTGAGAGTGCAAGAATGTGAGCAGGTGTGAGTGAGTGTTCAAGAGTGTGAGTGTGCATGGGTGTGAGTGTGCAAGGGTATGAGTGTGAGTAGTGTGCAATAGTGCAACTGAGTGTGCATGAGTGTGAGCAAGAGTGAGTAGTGTGCATGAGTGTGTAAGAATGTGAGCAGGTGTGCATGAGTGTGAGCAAGAGTGAGTAGTGTGCAAGTGTATGAGTAAGTGTGCAAGGGTCTGCGTGAGTGTGCAAGAATGCCAGTGAGTGTGAACATGCAAGAGTGAGTTTGCAAGGCTCTGAGTGAGTGTGCAAGGCTCTGAGAGTGAGTGTGCGAGGGTGTGAGTGTGCAAGAGTGTGCGTGTGAGTAGTGTGCAAGAGTGTGAGTGTGCAAAAGTGTGAGTAGTGTGTATGGGTGAGTGTGCAAGTGTGACTGCAAGTGTGTGAGTGAGTGTGCAAGTGTCAGAGTGTGAGTGTGCAAGTGTGTAAGTGTGCAAGGGTCTGCGTGAGCGTACAAGAATGTTAGTGTGGAAGAATGTCAGTGAGTGTGAGTAGTGAGTGTGAGTAGTGTGAGAGTGTGAGTGTGCAAGAGTGTGAGTAATGTGAAAGAGTGTGAGTGAGTAGTTTGCAAGGGTGTTAGTGTGAGTGGTGTGAGTGTGCAATTATTTATTCCTTTCCAGGGTTCTGATGTCTCCTTGCTCCGCCTTTAGTATAGCTCTAATGGCTCATTTTCTTTAAATAGAACAGATACCATAAAATAATGAATCACCCTTCTGAAGGGCGGAGCCAAGATTCTCCTCTCTTCGCTCATCCTGGGGGCACTCAAACAGCACCACAATCACAAGCCTGAGCTGCTCTGGGCAGCAACAAAAAAAATAAAATAAAAATTTGGAAAAATAGAAAAATTTGAAATAAAAATTAAATAAAAAGATAAGTAAAAAATTAAATTAATTTAAAAAAACCAAACAAAATAAAGTAAAAACTGTTAAGTGCCATAAAATGTTGCAAAGAAAAACTGTTGTAAAATGTCGTAAAGCAAACCTGCCGTAAAGCGCGACTGTCGTAAAAGAGGCGGGGCCGTAAAGCGTGACTGTCGTAAAAGGTGCCATAAAGTGCAGCTGTCGTAAAAGGGGCGGTGCCGTAAAGCGCGACTGTCGTAAAACTGCCGGAAAGCGCTACTGTCGTAAAGGAGGCCGTAAAGAGCGACTGTCGTAAAAGGGGCGGGACCGTAAAAGCGCGACTGTCGTAAAACTGCCGCAAAGTGCGACTGTCGTAAAAGGGGGCGGTGCCATAAAGCGCAACTGTCGTAAAAGGGGCGGGGCCGTAAAGCGCAACTGTCGTAAAACTGCCGTAAAGCGCGACTGTCATAAAAGGGGCCATAAAGCCTGACCGTTGTGAGACTGCCGCAAAACGCGACTGTCGTAAAACTGCCGTAAAGCGCGACTGTCGCAAAAGGGCGTGCTGTAAAGCGCGAGTGTCGTAAAACTGCCGTAAAGCGTGACTGTCGTAAAAGAGGTGGGGCCGTAAAGCGCGACTGTCGTAAAAGGGCGGGGCCGTAAAGCGCGACTGTCGTAAAACTGCCGAAAACCGCGACTGTCGTAAAAGGGGCGGGGCCGTAAAGCGCGACTGTCGTGAAACTGCCGTAAAGCGCGACTGTCGTAAAAGGGCGTGCTGTAAAGCACGAGTGTCGCAAAACTGCCGTAAAGCGCGACTGTCGTAAAAGGGTGGGGCCGTAAAGCGCGACTGTCGTAAAAGAGGCGGTGCCGCAAAGCGCGACTGTCATAAAACTGCCAAAAACCGCGACTGTCGTAAAATGGGCGGTGCCGTAAAGCGCGACTGTCGTAAAAGGGGATCGTAAACCGCGACTGTCATAAAAGGGGTGGGGCCGTAAAGCGCGACTGTCGTAAAAGGGGCTGTAAAGCGTGACTGTCGTAAAGGGGACGTAAAGCGCGACTCTCGTAAATGGGGCTGTACCGTAAAGCGCGACTGTCGTAAAACTGCCGGAAAACGCGACTGCTGTAAAGGAGGCCGTAAAGCATGACTGTCGTAAAGGGGCCGTAAAGCGCGACTCTCGTAAATGGGGTGGTGCCGAAAACCGCGACTGTCGTAAAATGGGCGGTGCCGTAAAGCGCGACTGTCGTAAAAGGGGATCGTAAACCGCGACTGTCGTAAAAGGGGTGGGGCCGTAAAGCGCAACTGTCGTAAAAGGGGCCGTAAAGCGTGACTGTTGTAAAGGGGACGTAAAGCGCGACTCTCGTAAATGGGGCGGTACCGTAAAGCGCGACTGTCGTAAAACTGCCGGAAAACGCGACTGTCGTAAAGGAGGCCGTAAAGCGTGACTGTCGTAAAGGGGCCGTAAAGCGCGACTCTCGTAAATGGGGCGGTGCCGTAAAGCGCGACTGTCGTAAAACTGCCGAAAACCGCGACTGTCGTAAAATGGGCGGTGCCGTAAAGCGCGACTGTCGTAAAAGGGGCGGGGCCGTAAAGCGCGACTGTCGTAAAAGGGGTGGGGCCATAAAGCGCGACTGTCGTAAAAGTGCGGAGCCGTAAAAGCGCGACTGTCGTAAAAGGGGTGGGGGCGTAAAGCACGACTGTCGTAAAACTGCCGTAAAACGCAACTGTCGTAAAAGGGGCGGTGCCGTAAAGCGCAACTGTCGTAAAAGGGGCCGTAAAGCGCGACTGTCGTAAAAGGGGGCCGTAAATCGCGACTGTCGTAAAGGGGCGGTGCCGTAAAGCGCGACTACCGTGAAAGGGGCGGGGCCGTAAAGCGAGACTGTCGTAAAAGGGGCAGGGCCGTAAAGCCAGACTGTCGTAAAATGGGGTGGGGCCGTTAAGCCAGACTGTCGTAAAACTGCCGTAAAGCGCGACTGTAGTAAAAGGGGGGCGTAAAGCGCGACTGTCGTAAAAGGAGTTGTAAAGCGCGACTGTTGTAAAAGGGGCGGGGCCATAAAGCACAATTGTCGTAAAGAGACTTTTGGACACAGGGGTGTTGGAATCCATAAAGTTAGAGGGTTTTTAGGAAATGGTTAAAATAAGTATAAGCCTCAGAATGAAGTTTTGTTAGCATTGCAGATACAGCAGAAAAGTTTCCCAAGCAGTAGAGCATACGTAACAAATAACAATCAGCCTCTGTAAAAGTAGCTTTAAGATAACAACAGTTATTTAATGTATATCTTTAGAAAATTAGCATGAATAGAACTCTATTCTTTATCTCTTATGAACCAGTCTTTGTTTTAAATACCATTACGTGTGTTTTATAAGATTAGATAGAATACTTGTCAATATGTGTTGTTCTATGTATAATTAGCTAAAATCTAAACTGAGATAATTTTATGTCATTCTATATAACCCCACCTTCTCAAACATTCTCTCTAGATCAGCGAACTATTAACATCATGTCTCCATTGTATGTCTTAAAACTGATGTGCTAGAAATAAAAGCAAAAAGCTCTTCACTAATCTAGTTTGTCCAGTGTTATCCATATTTAGACGTAACTGCCACAGCAAGTAAATTCCTTTTTTAAGTCATAAGTTCCTAACACAATTAAACCTCTATCTACCCTTCTACCCCATAAGGGGGATTGAGCACTTTAATAATATCTCCCGCCGGGATCTGGCTGCCGGGGAGGTGGTCCCAGCTTGCAGGGCGCTGGTTGAGCTCTTTGCTGCAAGGGGGATGCCCGCAGCAGCTCCCCGCCGAGCTCTCCTCCTGCCGTGACTCTCGAACGGGACACGCCCCCCCTTTCCCCCCACCCCCGTCGGAACCCACAGCTCCGGTACCCGCAGTCCAGCTCACCCCTGCCGCCCCGCCCCCCGCGGTCTGGACACCCGTTTCCCCGCCCTCAGCCACGCCCCCTGCCCTCGTGGCCCCTCCCACAGCTCCCACCATTTCGTTGGTCTCTGCTGTCCCGGCTACCGCGGGCCCCGCCCCCACCTGGCCGCCCACCAGCGTCACCGCGGCCCCGCCCCCTCCTGCCCCCGCCGCTCCACCCCCGCCACCCGCAGCAGGGCCCTTGGGGGCCGCTCCTCGCGCCCTCCAAGTCCCCCCCGCCCCCTTTGCCGATCCAGCGCCGGTGGTGGCCAAGTCCCGTCCGCGTCCGTCGCTGCCGCGTCTTTGCAGTCCCCTGCGGCTCCCGGCTCAGCGGTGCCGAGCACGCCTGGCGCGGCCGCGCTGGCGTCCGCAGCGCCCCCTGCGCGCGTTGGCGCAGGAAGCCCCGGCCCCCCCCCGTCGGCGTTCAAGCGCTCGCAGCACGCCCCAAGGGGCCCCAGTTAACCCCGTTCCTGCCGCCGTTCCTCCAGCGCAATCCCCCGGTCCCGGCACGGCACCGCTTGCGCTGGGACCGGGGCACCCCAGCCCCCCACCCCGTGCCGGCGCCGCGGCATCTTACACCGGTGGCCGCAGCCTGTCCCGTGCCTGCCGCGGCTCCGGCTCAACTTCCCGCCAGCGCCGCCCCTGCCCGCCGGGCCAGCAGCCACCCCAGCCCGGCTTACGAGCTCCCGGCGGCTGCAGCCACCGACCAGCTCACGGCTCGCCATGGCCCCCCCGCAGCTGCCTCCCGCCGCCCCTACGCCGCTCCTACGCGCCGGGTTTATCTCCCGCTGACGAGCCCGCCCCGCCGCCGCCCGTGGTCGCTTTCCCGCTCCTGCCGCCGCCGCTCGCCACCGCGGCCCCGGGCCGAGCCGTGCCTTCCCCCCCCACCCCCCCTGCTTCCGAGCTGCGGGATGGCGCGGCTCCGCCGCCCCCTGCAACCACGGCCGGCCCGTCGTTCCCCTCCACGACCGCAGCCGCAGCTTCGTCTCCAGTTCCCGCAGCGTGCCCGCCCGCCGCCGGCCATGCGGGCGGCCGCCCGACGCCAGCCACGCATGCGCAATTGCTACAACCCCCGCACCAGCAATATGACGCCGCGCCGCCTCATCCAACCACGGCGCTGCTTCCGGGATCAGCCGCACCGGCAGTTAACTGTCCACAGCCCGGCCAGCACCCCCCTCACTGCTGTGGCCGCAGCTTTGGTACAGCCTGCCGGCTCCGAGGCGCTGCAAGAGTGTGAGTGAGTGTGCAAGGGTGTGAGCGGGTGTGCATGAGTATGAGTCAGCCAGAGGGCTCCTGCACAGCTCCCCGGGCCGGGGCAGGAGCCGTGCCGGCAGGGCTGGGATGTGCAGCAGCAGCAGCAGCAGGAGCTGTGCTGGCAGTGCTGGGATGTGCAGCAGCAGCAATGGAGGCAGTGCTGGCTGCAGTGCTGGCTGCAGCTCTCCTGCAGTGCTGTGCAGCAGGAGAGCCTCGAGCCTCACTCACTCCTGCCCTGGCATCCCCTGCCCTGGGCACCTGCCAGAGCCCTGCTTGGGCAGGGAACAAAGCAGCCCCCCCGTTGGCACCTGGCTGCTCCTAATTCTTCTTTTCTTCATGCCAATATCAGCTGCAGGAACATGGTGGCAGCAAGGACTTGAAGAGTCAGGGCAGGTGAAGTTTGCCCCCAGAAATCTGGATACTGCATGAAATCAGGTCCAGTTTATCTGGCTCTACTTGCACTGTCTTTCTGCATTCTCATTTTCACCTGCTTGCCTTTCTGTGTGATCCACAGCTTGTATTTGGATCAATTAGCACTCCCTAATGAACACTGGTAGTGAAAGGCATGCAGATATCTCAGGAGTAACTATTATAAATTCATCTATGACTTTCTCTGTCTGTGTGAACCTTTGCACTCTCCTAAGAGTCCCAGCAATTCAGAACACAACTAAGGGAGATGGGTAATGTAAAAAAACCCTACTCTGCCTTTTGACACACGTGTTGGACAAATTACTCTTATATTGGACAAATATGTCATTTTTTTCAGCTCTGATAATGCGCCTTTACTGATAATTCATGTATTTCAAATAGAAAACAATGTCATTTTACTTGTTGCTTCATATAGAGACATCAACCACAAGGTTTTGTACTAGTTATAATTTTTATAAATTTCAAACAAAGTGTGGTTCTACACAGGTCAGAATGGCCTAATTACAGGAAGTTCATTTGCACACTTTTTTTCTTGTAATAAATTCATACATTCTGTATTGACTGGAAAAAAGGACAGGTAATTCTGTGCTCTTTCCCTGTCTGATTATCTCTCATCAGTCACAATATACAAATACATCATTATCAACACCATGGAAATCATGTAAGAAAACAAACTGTACCAATTCTCAGCTGGGGAGAGAAAATCTTAGCAGCTATTTCAGTCCAGCTGCAAGAAGAAATACACATTTTGGATCTTTTTTCTTATTATTCTTATATATCTCTAATCACATATATATATATGTTTGAAGTCTTTGAGTATTTTTGGAAAGGAAGCACATGGCCTTTCTCATACCCAATCCTGTTTGAAATATCAAGACTCTAAGAAAATCATAGATAATAAAATGGCTTCTCATCACACACACGACCAGAACATGACACACACAGAGCTTTGCTGTCACTGGCGAGGAAAGCCAGAGCTCAGAAGTGGTTTGGCTGCAGCTGTTTGTGTTCAAGACAACGAGCACTGGTCTGGTTCTCCACCTGGTGGGGTTCCAGGTGAGAGGAGAGGATCAGGCCTGATTCTATTCTAGCCTGGTTTACTAAAAGCAAGACTTGTGTGTCGTGCAACTGCCCGTCTCTGTTGGCCATTGGTGCCAGGGAAGGACTCTGCAGCCCACCCACACCTGAGTGGGCACTTTTGAGGGCAGTTCTGAGGATGTGAAGTTTCTGAAGTTTCACAGAATAGCAGCAGGGCAGAGAGCCCAGGCAGACCCTCAGCCTGGAGGGCAGGTGTGGCCAGCCCAGGCCCAGGAGTTGAGCCAGGCACGGGGCCAGCAGCAAGGGCTGCTGCAGCACAGATTTACCTGGGATCTGGTGTCTTCTACAGCCAAATCTTAGTCACAACCATTACCTTTAAATGACTTCTAAATGGTCACTAGAGCATCTCCAAACAACACTGAAATGAAATCCTTATTTTAAAACTATGATTTTTAGGTCCATCTACCTGAATAGGATGGTGTCAAAGACCTACAGACAGAATAAGCATACTCTAACACACATTAGTCTTGCTGGACTTTACCAAATCATCTTCTAGACTGTCCATGGAGAGTCATTCCCTTAATTATCTCTTTGCTTGACAGAAATACACTAATTAAAAGACTGTCCTGCATACTATTTAAAAAACTCAAAAAGTCATCAAACCCCATTTTGTCTCAGCAAAGCCAGAAGGTTGCTCCTTTGTTTTTCCATCCATCAGCAATGTCACAAATCTTCAATTTGGCACTTTCATACACTCAGGGTAACCCTCCCCTCTCTCTCTCCCACACACAAAAGGTTACTATACTCACTAATGTGCAAAGCTCCCTAGCCCTTCCCTCTCCTATGCTTAGGGCAGGGGTAGACAGCAGCACTGTTCCTGTGCAAAAATTACTGAAAGTAATAGAGAAACCAGAATGAGCTCATTTTAGAGAGAGGATTGCACTATAAGAAAATGTCACTGCATATTTCCTTAGGGGCCTGAAAGGAATCAATTCTTCCTGCAAGATGCTGATAACCACAGTAGACCAAGAGGATTCGTGTTCCTGAGTGCCTACATGTCAATTTTGAGGTAAATGACCAACACAAACAGGCAAGCTCCTATCTCTGTAGAACAAGAATAGCTCCCAGAAAGGTCCTTTAGTCCTGAACAGAAAATGTCAAAAATCACAGATTTTAGATATGGAGGGTTAGAAGAGCCATGGGAATCAATCACCACATTGCAACTTAGAATCAAGCAGTAAGTCTTCACAGGCAAAAAAAAAAAAAAAATCTGACTAACCCTTTTCCTGCTCCAAGGCTTTTTCTAAAACAGGACTATCTGCCTGCTCCACAGCTATCCTGACTCCCACACTACGGTACTTGCAACACCAGCCTCCACTGAGACACAAAGGAAAACATTCGAGTCCCTGGGAAGGTGAGAGCAGAAATGGCACACACACCTACTGCTTTGCTCAGAGGCTCACTTAGTAAAGAGTGGGTTTTGGTTTGCTTCATCTCCATTTCTAGTGCTTTTAGTGCCCTCTGTTATTTACATAAAGCACCACTAGTCTGAGGGTTAAACAAAACATCCCTAAGAGTGAAAGCCACTCACTCACTCTTGAGTTTCTTCTGGGCTCATTTTTACCAGACTGATCTTTGCCTGTTTGCAGCTCTTAGTCAATATTTATCTTTACTAGCAGCTAGTTTAAATAGCTAGTTTAGCTATTTATCTTTACTAGCAGTATTTATCAGTACTAGCAGCTTTTGTGGGACCTAAGACCCAATTACCATCAAAATGCCTTCATGCCTTAACAGCTGCTCTAAATGAGCTAATGGCTTCTATAGGAATCATAACATCTGTAATCACTTTATATTATACATTACATCCTTATGTGGCAGAGATTTGGTACAGTCCTTTCATCAAACGTCCTGGAAAGAAGTATTTAGCAACAACACTTTATCCACTCATTGGAGCATCTAATGCTCACTGCCTATTTGCAATGCTGAAGTATATTCCAAATGGGGGGTGAAATGTATCTACTCATAGCCCAGCACACAAGGAAAGCATGCAGTCTACTCAAACATGTGACAGTAAATGGCATTCAGCTGAATTCTCGGCACCAAGTGCAAAGGGTTGTGATCCAGCAACCAGAGACTGTAGAGGGGGCAGAGGAATGACTCAGGCTGTAAAAAGAGTTCAGTGTTCTTTGTCACAGTAGTGTTACATGTCTACTTCCCTGCTTAGCCCTGCGCCTCCCAGGCAGGAGCTGCCACCGGCACCATGCCAGGTGTGGAATGCTGTGTGCAGCAGGGCCTTCCTGGGCCACGGCACTGCTGCTGATGGTCCCAGCCAGGAGTCTCCTTTCCACAGCCACCCTCAAGTGGGGTGTTTTTGGTGTTGACTGACAGCAAGAAGGGCACATTTGTGATGATGTATCAGCTGGAATTAAGGAGGACAGGGAAGGCACAGCCAGAGGCAAGCAAATGGAAAAACCTCCAGGTGACCCCAGGGTGGAGCAAGGACTCGTAACCACCACGTGCCCCTCTGCAGTGATGTGGTGCTCAAGCAAAGTTGCCAAAAGGTGCGTGCATAGAGACTCTTCAGCTCTGCTGTTGACCTAATTTAGGCCACATCTTCTGAAACAGTTTGATAATCAATGCAAGAAGCATTTTTCTCCTCTAATACTGAAGGTAGGCTTGATGTTTTCCGGATGTTTAATGCTCCTTTCAAGTTTGTTTTTCCCAGCTTGCCAGGTAGACAGCACAGTTCTCATCTGTTCATGTTGATAAAATTTTAGTGAATTATGAACCTCAGAGCTTGTGAGGAAGGCAACTTTGATCCAGTGTCCACCCAAGATAAAGACAGGTGGATGGGTCCTGAGGAAGGCTGGTCCTGCTGTTCAGCTGCCAGCCCTCTGTTCTGCTGGGAAGCTTTTGGCCACCTCACTTTCCTTCGTGTCTGACTCTACTGAGGCTGTGCTGCAGGAATCGTTGTACGTGTCTGAAAAGGAGGACATGGACATTGTCACTACAATGTGTCTACAGGATTTTTCATCTACAGTCTTAAGGTTCTTTCTTAAAAGCATGGAATAAAATAGAACATAAAATCACAGTTCTACTGCTCTTCTAATTCCTTCACAAAAGGCATGGGAGGCTCTTCTGGTGTGTAACTGTAATGTGTGCCTGGCGTTGTTTTTCTTTTGAAGCACTGGACATGCCAGTGAAATGAGAGCCATAGTTGGGCAGGTGAGGAGAGGACTGACCTGCTATGGAGGTGAAGTAGCAGCAATTACCAAACTCCCTTTACACCACAACAAAGAATCCTGAGGTTAAAAAATTATTTCCTCCACTTAAACTGACCAAAAAGATCAAAAGAGATCAGTAATTCAGAATAAAGTGCTGGCAGCTCTCCATTGCAGATCCCCAGGGAATGGCTGGGCCAGATTTTGCTTTTTCTGCTACCAGAAGAAAAGCAGGACACATTTGGTAAGTTATATTTAAGGATGGACAAATATTAGTCTAGAATTGTAAACCTTTGATCTGCAGAGTTGCTCAGATTCAGCTTTTCCAGTGCAACCTGTTTGGGTGTTAGGTCAGAACCAAAGCTGTGACTGGATAACTTTTAGTGCTGATTTGGCTGAAATCTTGCCAGAGCAGCCCTTCCTGCAGCTTTTGGAGCCAGCTGTGAAATATGATGAAGGCAGTAATGGTTCATGAAATTTTAATGTTTTCAAGCCTAGGCCAGAAGCACAGCCCTGATGCTGGTCTCCATCCAAAGTCTATCCATGCCAGGATCAGAGCTGCCCTGCAGGCACACCCTGTGTATGAGATGCTTGGGCTCCCTGCAAAGCAGCCAGCCTGAGTGCTGGTAGCCATAGAAGTTGGATGGGAGATTCAAGTTCTGCTCAGAAAGGGGAAAACAATTAAGCCAGGCCAAGGAAAGCTGCTGTGCCTAACCAGCTCTGACACCCAGGCACCAAATTTCAGGTTAGCTCAGCCATGTCACCAGAGACTGTAGCACAGACGTGCACTCAGGTGAGTACTTCAACACAGAAATGCACTTTTTATCACCTTTTTTTTTTTTTGCTATCACATTCTTTTTCAGTATGGAGCAGAAAACAAACAAACCGGTATCACATTTTCTTTATTACCTGCATTGCTGCTCTTAATTATGTTGTTACTGTCCCCCTCTGCTGGCTGCAATATGCTGGAGGGAACCCAGTCGCTTTTCTCAGAGACCAGTTTCTTCACTAACCTGAAACTCAGAGAACAGTCAGTGACTTTTCCTACAGTGACCCTCCTTGGGTTGTGTGTCTTAGAGGTGCATGTTGGGCTATTATCTCCTGAACTAAGGAAGAAGGCAGAGGAGCCAGGGCAGTCCTACAGGTATCCATAGAGAATCACAGAATCACTAGGTTGGAAGAGACCTTCAAGATCATCGAGTCCAACCCAGCCCTAACACCTCAACTAAACCATGCACTCAATGCCACATCCAATGTTTTTTAAAACACAGCCAGGAATGGTGACTCCACCACCTCCCTGGGCAGACCATTCCAGAACTTTATCACTCTTTCTATAAAAAAGATATTCCCTAATATCCAACCTATATTTTCATCTTTTCCAGGAGGTTCTGGCTGTTCCAGCTGTCCAGTTCTGTCTCTCTGCCATACTCACCATTGACCATTCTCTCCTTCCTGCACAAACTGCACTAAATCTCCATCCTCAAGAGAAAGAGAATCTGGGAAACAGCTGTCAAAACTGCCTTCGACCCGGAAGAGATTGTTCCCCTAAAATGAATGAAACAAGGCACCAGAAACAATCACTATGGATGAAAGAACACTGTGCAAGAGATTTTAGTTAGATACTGAATTAGGCATTTCAAGTTGGCAGATATTTCTTCTGTAGGCAATTGTGATTTATCATGTCCAGGTTAAATATTACTCAAAATTTGGATAGACCTGTTCTCTGCATTTAGACTTTAGGCTTAACCCACCAGTCATTATTCTGATATAGAAATTGGGTTTGTTCACACCAGGTGAAGTTATCTGGAAAAGTCTGAAATTACTTTTTTTAAGACTCAGAGTTTTCCCTCACTTTTGTAGCAGGCAAAGCAACAGCCTACAAGAATGGGTGACTTTTTATGATTCTCATCCTGATCAACAAAAGACTTGTAATAATCTTCCAACACCCCAGATCAAATTTCCACCTTCTGTATTTCCACAGATCTATGGATTTAAGGCTGGTGTGAACCCAAACTTTGCAGGTTACATTGTGATCCTTAGAGAAGAGGAAGTTGTGCTGGCAAAGGGCAGTGTAATTTCAAAAAGCAATTACATTGTTAGGGTTGGTTTCTTCCTCCAAATCAGAAGAGTTGGAGAGTTCATCCATGCTGGAAGGGATGGCTTCAAAATCTTCAAATGTGTCTAGAGAAGGCATTTGTCTGCTGGGCCAACCTTTTCAAAAGACATAAACCAGACAGAGTTAGCTATCAGACATTAGCCTCTTTGAGAATCAGTCTGTAAAATAAATGTCACATGTTCACTTCCCGCTCTTCCACTTACCAAATTGCTGGTACTTTTTTATAGCTTATTCCACAGTTTTGCCATAAAAATTATGTCACAGCCATTATTCTGTCTCTAAAAAAGTCTAAAAGTCTGCACCACTCACTGTCCCTGGTGTGAAAGCAGCATGTGTGGCTGCAGTGTTCACACCCATGGATACTCCCAGTGCTCAGCATTGCTCAATCCCTTCAGCTCAGGAGGTACAAAAAACAAGGACCAGGAATCTTCCTGCAGAGCAAATGATAACTTGTGCTGACATGACTTTCAGAGGGCCACGGTGATTCAGTTTCCAGCTTACCTCCACATGTTTAAGTACATAGCCATGGAATTTTGGTTGACTTCTTATCTCCATCTCACCCAAGGTGATATTACCACCTGAGCAATTTACCAGCAATATATCCTGAAGCAGGCTGCAAGTGCAGGGAAGGGACAGAGTAAACAGCAAGGCACAAAAACAACCAGGGAGGTGAGGAGAGATCTCAGTCATATTTGTGCTGTACCTGTCTTACTGCATGATTTTCACCAGAACCATCCCAACCCAGTGGAATGGACTCAGTGAGAGATTTCCAGCCTGACTCAAGAGCCAGACTCTCTTCACCTAGAAAGGCATGTCCATAGGATGTGTCCTGAGGGAAACTGAGGCTGACCAAATCTGCCTGAGGCTGCCATGGTGCAAAAGTAGCTCAGGCTCTTTTGTGCAGGTGGCAAACATCATCTGCACTTTCCTGCACTTGATGCCTGTCCCCTTTCTGGTGGGGATGGGGATGACTACAGTCCAGCCCAGAGGAAACAGACCTTGCATCTACCAAGTAATTCTGTAGCCCTGACAGATACAAGCTGAATAGAGTCAGTCAATTTACCATATGCCTTCCTAAGTTAGTGTACCTGCTGGGCATGAGCTGATTCACAGGGACTTGGGCTGAGCAGATGCTGAACCAAATTCTTTACATCCTGTGGGCCATTGCTCTGACCACAAGGCATGGAGACAGATGCTCTCACAGTGGGATTATGCACATCCCAGCACTCTCAACCCACACCAAACCCTGGCCTGAGGCAATACAAAACCCAAGCCAGGCAGTTCAGGCAGTAAACAGAAAAGTGACCTGATCTGGGAGAAATTTATTAATTAGTTTATTTAATCCCTCCCCATGCATACCCTCCCTGCTATAAGCACTGGTTGGTGCAACACATGCTCATGCAGCTCTGCCACCCATGGATGTCTGCTCCAACAACTGCAACCCAGTTCCAAGGACACAGGGACCTTCCTCCAGCACAGCTGCATCCCCAGCTATCCCCCCACAGGCATGGTCTGGCCATCTGTGCTTTTAAAGGTGTAAACCAGCCTCTGAAGTGACACTGTCCTGTACTATACTAGCAAAGGTCTAAAGATACAAGAATATGCTGATTCTAGTTAACTTCAAACTGCTACTGCAATTTTAGTTCAAATTCACAGGCTGGACTACAAACACCAAGAGAAAAAGATACCCCTCTACTCCATTAGACAAAGCTTTCACAGTCTTTTGCCACTGTCATTTAGAAACCTCACCAGCCAGAATTCCTTACAAATACATCTATCAGCCTCCCCCTTCCATACAAATCCCTATTCTAATTTCAGAGACTAAGAAACAGCTTGTTTCTCATGCTTAATTCTTATAAAATAAGACAGATCAAATTCTAAGCTCTCTTGCTTTCAATTAAAATAATTATTTTCAGCCTGACCTCAGAAAACCAGAATGTGGGGCATTGTTTCTAAGCAAATGATCCAAGCTTTTTCTTGCATTGCTTTGGTGGGAAATAATATTCACCAAAAGAGAAAACTCTCCTTATAATAAAGAGAGTAAATATTATCATAAATTGAGTTTGCACTCTCAAATTGAGTTTACAAATACTTTAATTGTGTTTACCTGTCTGTGAAGCAGATCTAGGTACGGATCTCGTGGTGGGACCGGCATTACATTTAGTCTGGGCCAAAATGGTGTTCTCAAAAGCATCTGTGACAGGAAGTACAATTTGTGTCTTCAAGGTGAAACAGTGACCAGACAACCAGTACAAAGTGTATTCCTGCATCACCTCTGCAACTGACAGGCTCTTTAACAAACAGGTGGACTGGGGTCCAACAGTTATAAAAGAGGAGACACATGACCAGCACAAATGAGTGAAAGGACAGCAGCATTCCACAGAAAAACTGTAAGTCTGAGAAGGACAGAGAACAGCGAAATGAATCAAACAGAAGTAGTGATGTTAATTAAGGAAGATAGTTGCTGAGTGAATAGTGCAGTGTTCTATTTCATTACAGCTTCCTTACCCATTTTTAACATATTTTTCTTGCAGCTTTTAAAATCATTTTGTAGGTGATAATTTATGGTTTTGATTCTAATACATACAGCAGCAAAAGGGGACCAGGGAGACCAGAAATTAATGATTTCACCCTCGATGAATGCAACAGAATTTGGGGGGAGGAAATCCCTTGTTATTACCTCAGTCAGAACCCTGTCAATAGCAGCAATATCCTCTGGTAAAGGGGTGATAATGTCCATTGTTTCCTACTTAAAGATACTCAGCCTGGTGAGGGATGCTGTTACCTTGTTTGTAACCTGTGAGGAGCAAGTCAGTTCTATGCTGCAGATAGTTCTTGCAACTTGAAATGCCCCCTGTCCCTGCAGCCACAGGGGATGCTGAGATCAGGGCATCTGTCAGTGAGGGAAGCAAGGCATAAACCCCACACTTTGGGTGCTGCTGGGTGCCAGGATGGTTCTAAACATAGTGCCAGGGTCACTGGCAAAAGGAAATATTCTGCAAGCAGCAAAATGACTTCTGCTGTCTCTGAATTGTTTCTTCCAGAGTGCCATGGGAGATAGCTCTGATATTTCACCAGTTCCATCACTGACCTGTTCACTGGCTCTTCCTACCAAGATTTTGTGCAGAACAACACAATGCTATGAAAGGAGTCCTCAGCCCACATCTTCCTCCTGCCTGTCCTGCAGCAGAGATACTTGGATCCTTGTGTCCCCTGAAGGCAAATGGTCAGAGAAAGGCTGACAGTGGAAGCTGGTGATCTTCCAGTGGCTGAGGAGCAGCACCTCAATTTAACTCTTTGGTAGTGTTTGTTAAACAGTAATTTATGAATCTGCTGCAACAAATTGGTGGAAATTCTGCTTGTCTGAAATGAAACACTGCACTTGAAATGGCTATTAATGCACAGTCTAGCCTCCCCTGTAGTCTTCATGCACATGGCTCCTGTTTCTCTCATTAAGAGTAGACACCAGCAAGGGAAGAGGGATGCAAGTGGCCAGACTGCAGGTGAAGGTGAAAAGGAGCCCCTTAGCTCCCTGCTGCTGCTCCCTATGGAGGGAGGCAGAGCCAGGCAGAAAATCCAGATCCAGGTGACAGCCTAGAGCTTTACTTCCCAAAACAGGCAGGGAACTGGGGGTTTAATTCAGGCCCATGCCTAGGTGAATATGAGTGCAGGGGACAGGCAAGGGAGTAACAAGCTGTCTTTATCCCAGTTATGCAGATAAACTGACCCCAACCCCCTAATGAACTCCAGTGTCACCCACCAGCCTTGATGAGATGTGAATTCAGTGAATAATATCAAACAAGATTTTCATGCAGGATGGAAATACTCCTACCTTCAAACCCCAGGGGGGTTGGGTCACTCTTTATTTCATGTCTCTTGACTTTAACTGCAGGAACAAGGGGACCTGTGTGGAGTTTATAGAGTCACAAGGCTGTAAATATTGTTAAAGAAGAAACTTGCTTTCCTACGCCTGAAAACACTAACTACCTAACACTTGCAATTTCAGCCAGAAGAATGATCAACCCCTGGGTTCTGGGTGGTGGAGATACACACCTCTGTGCAGTGGATAGGGAACAAACCCTTTTGTCAAAAGACACTGAGACATCACAGCAAAAGAATCTGCTTCCCTTGGGGTCTCACAGACGCTGCCTCTCACTCTTGCCCAGGAGATGGCACTAAGGCAGCAGACCCGCAGTCCCCGCCTGCGGCCGTGAGCCTGGCAGGGCACAGCTCACAGAACCAGCACCTCTGACCCTCGGAACGGGGGGACACCAGCCACAGGTCCGTGTGCAGCCCCTCTCCTGTGCCCCACTGCAGATGTGGGGGGAGCTGAACTGCCAGGAGTGACGATCAGACACAGCAACAGCTTTGCCCAGAAGTGGTGACCACAACACCCTGGCAAGGTCTGCATCTGGGCTGATGCTCAGACAAGACTCAGGCTTCAGTTTTTCTGTCATCTGAAATATTTTCTTAAAGTAGATGCTGTGACTAAAACACTTAATTGAAAAGCACTGATTCTGTTTTCTAGCTTTGAAAATCATTGCAGAAGTGGTTTTCTCAGTATCCCAAGAGATTGCCAACAGTCTTTTGGCAGACAGTATTCTAGAATAGGACTTTTTGATATGAAACTGTAACAAATTTTAACTTTCATAGCAATTCACACATGCTCTCTTTGATACACCACACTAAAGAACAACCCTTGGTTGCCCATTTTCTTTGTAGATATGTGCTTCATTATGTTCCCCAGCTTTGAAAAGATGTATTAGGAAATGACTCAGTCTTCCCATAATTTAGCAACTGATCATGTATGTCTGAGTTGTTGCTGAGGGCAAAAAGCTGTAATAACCTCTTCTCATGTGCTATGCCCATCACTTCCATGTAAGGATGTTCTAGTGCTGTGGTCTAAAGGTGCTGTCAAAGAAACATTTGTAGGTAGTGAGACTGTCACATCCTGCCTCTGCCCATGAACCCCACCATGCCCTCATTCCCTGACAGCCTCACTGCAGCCAAGGATGTGGCTCATATCCCTCCCAGCTGTTGAGAAGGGAACAGATACTGAGCAACTTTCTTCCTGACAACTACAGAGCAAAGATTTTTATACAAATTAATTCTACAATTTTGCCTTCTATTTTGATCTTTTGAATTGCCCTTAAAAATCTTAAACCTTGCAAATCAGTTCCTCCAGTCCATTCCAGGAACTGCCAAAAGGTAGTATATTCAGAATTCCATGTAAGACCATATGTTCTGTTATCAAAATTATCCCTGATATGCAGGCATATATGCTACTGGAAACCTAACCCCACACCAGCCAAACATTAATCCAATTTCCATGGACACCAGCAACACTTTTTGGAGCCTACAATGGAGAAATTGGGAAGAGTCAGTCTGTGTGCTGACAGCACACCTCAATACACATTCAAAATGTCCTGGCCTGCCTCCCTGCAGGTGTTACACGGGTGCTCACTCTTCTTCTACTGGAACCTCCTGCTCAGTGAACACTGGGCCTGAGGGCTCACTCTGAGCAGCATTTGGCAGTGACTGTGCCAGGCAGCAGGCAGGGAGAGGGGGAGCTAAGCAAGCAGCAGGACAGTACCTTTGGTGGCAGCAGAAGCATTGGCTGTGGTGCTGATGGAGGAGGCTAGGGAAAAGCGACGGGTAACTTCTCTGTCCTTAGACTCTGGATCTGGGAGAACAGACAGATGCAATGCAGGGCAGGGTTAGAGGTTAATAAGCACTGGGGGTAAAAGGTGTTCAAAGCAAAGCAGCAGCTGGAAAAGGGTAAAGAAAAGAAAGGTTGCTCCTCTAAAAATACCCTCAACAAGGTGAAAAGCACAGAAAGTGTTACTGTGAACATATTTTCAAAGCAATTCCAATTGCACCAATTTCAATACTTCAGAAAAGAGCCATGCCAATTATTATTTTAGCAACCAACTAGTGTCCAAATACAGCTACAAAACACAGAAATGACCATGATGGCTGGAATGGGGTGTGCGTCTACAGATGAGGTTTGGATCATTTTAGACACTGAGCTGCTTGTTCTGTGATGACTGACCTGAAATACACTGAAAAACAAGCATGAATGGTTTGGAGTTCACATTTGTCATCTCTAAAATTTAACTGTGTGAATACCTGAAAATATTCTCCAAGCTTCCATCTTCACCAGTGCAAACCAGCTTGGAGAAGGTGAAGGCTAGAGTGTTTTTCTCTTTCCTTATTCTTCATCCTGCCTTTTCTCTAAGTCTGCTCAGGAGTAAAGACACAGACTCCCCACATTTCACTATGACATGTGCTGAAGTTGTTCCCACCCCAAGGAATGTGAACTTGGCTCTGCAAACCAGGATGGCTAATGCTGACCCAAGGGTGGGGAGATGCAGGGTGCTTTGAGTGTGGACTTGGATACACTTTGGTGCCAGCTCTGGGATGGCTGCCCCAGGGATCTCTGCTCTGATGGAGTGCAGGATGCCAAAGTTTCTTCTCCAAACATCAGCATTTCTTTGACTAAAACACCAAAGTGATTATATACAACATTTTCCTGCCTGTCATATCCAGCCTAGGCAGAGAGTTCAGCATTTCTCTGAGCATCCATGCTCCACTGGCAGTTGATACCCAATCTTGTTTACACCCTCGTTAATTGGGGTATTATATTGTTTAGACCTTCCTTTCTTTGTGCTCTTGACAGAAACAGACACAGCAGATCTGAACCAAAGTACACTCAGCTCAACACACCATCCTTCACCACGGCCAGTAACAAAAACCTTTAGACAAAGTGCTGGGGAGCAGGACAAGCTGATAGCAGACACTTCCCTGTTCCCTTCTCCCAGCTTCCAGCGTGCCCCAGCAGCCACCCCGGGCAGTGCTGAGAGGCTTTGCCTGCAGCCATGACCACAGCCAGCCTGTCTGCCAGCAGCTCCCTCTGGCCAGAGCAGGTCAGCCCCACAGAGTGAAGCAGGACACTGTGCAAGAGGTGTTCCACAGGAATCTCGAGTAACCAGACCCAGCAAGGCTTTGAACTCAGAGCTGAGCTCTTCCCAGCTGTGCTTTGCTGCCTGCAACACTGAATACAAGGCAAGACATTTCATATGACAAGAAAAACTCAGATTAAAAAGTAAAAGAGACCCCAAACAAAATTGTAAATGTAGACTTGCAAAAATTACAGCATTATTTCTGAAATCTGTGTTTTGTCATTGATTTTCCTGAGTCACAAGATCTAAAATCCACTTGCTTTTATATTCAGACATTCAACTTTGTTTGTCCATCTTGGGTCTCACTACCATATGCAGCCTTAATCTGGTAGCCAGAATCTTACAGCAGTGCTGGCTCTTGGTGCATTCTTATCTACTTTATCACATTATAATTTAATGCTTCTGTATTTCTGCTTTTATGCTTTCATCTTGCTTCTTCCTCCTTTGATGTTCACCCTCTCCATCACTGCATACTAACCCTTTGTCTCACAGAGGAAATATTATTTATCAGAACAGGAAAAAAGCCACACAAAAACAATAAAGGGAGTAATTACAGTATCTTTTCAGAAAGTAATTATACGTAGTCAGTCAATTTAATTTCTATTCATATTTCTTTCTTTCCTCTAAAGTCTCTTCCTTGTACAGCTACCACAGGAACTTGCAAAGCTCTCTTTTCATGGATATCTACTAAACATTTATGCACAAGTACCCAAACCACAGCATTTTACGGTGTCATATAACATAATTAAGTAGAATAAAACCCCAGTTCTCCTGAATTCTCGTTCCCCACTAGGCCACAACTGAACAATATTTGAAAAAACAACAACATCCAACCAATGAATGATTTCACACATGAAAATCTCATGTAGCACAACAGATACAATACTCTTTTTCTTCAAGCCTGTAAGCTGCTGAAAGAAGTTCAGTTGATCATTTAAAACCAGTTCACACTTTGACCCTTGAGAGAAACTGGAAACAAATGTTATTTGCACTGTACACCAGTAAAAGACCCAACCAGCCAACCCAGAGGTTGCCTTGCCAATGCTGCCGTGGGAGCAATTTTTGGTGACGGCGTCTTTGGGCAGAGGAGCCACTCGTGTACACCAGAAAGGAGCATTTGGGTGAGATGCAGCAGCACTTTAGGAAACAGTGATGGATGGCACCACGGGATGGAGAGAACATTGTGGGAGTGCAGGAGACACATGGCCTGAGACCAAATGCTGCATGGGTGATTTTACCTTTGGGTGGAGCTCTGCGGTTGGAAAGACCTTGCAATGTGAATCGCTTTCTAGCAAGCGCTGTGCGCTCAAGGTTAAGGCTGCTGGAAGCATCAACTAGGAGAGAGAGGGAGAGGGAAGAGAAATAAGGAAGGAAGGGACAGCTGTTTAGCTTATGGGAAAGGAAAGGTTAGCACTGGATGACAACTCAAAAGAAATCAATAAATTTTGATTCAGTTCAAGCCTGAGCAAGAGCTAATCAATTGGAAAGGTGACATGAGGTCAGGGTGAGTAAACCAGCTGAACCAAACAGATCCCTGGGTTGAGTTTGGCTCACTGAGTTTTAATGGAGAACAACAACAAAACAAAACCAAAGAATAACAGGTGAAGGGAGGTAGCTCTCATCAAAGGAAAATACAATTTAGCAGCAAGCTATTGCCTTCTGTTATGGAAACACATCATTGGTTGGAGCAGTGACTTGTAAGGAGAAATAAGAGAAGAAGCCTTGCAGTACAGGACATGCAAGTGATGGGAGCAGTCTCACTTCTGCAATCCAGCACTGGCACTGAAGAGTGTGCCCTCACCAGTCCTGTGGCTGTACATCTTCAACCTTACCTGCTGAAACCTTTCTAAAGCCTCTGGAGCTGGCAGAGTCATGCAATTATCTCCTGATTTGCTGGGATGTAAGGGTGCCATGCCAGCAAAGCTCACATGCCAGGCTCCTGCATGAATAATCAGCCATGCTGTCTGACAGCTGCCTCTGCAGAGATCACAGAAGGATGGAGGTCCTGAGGCTCTGGGCTTGAAAGATACTCAGTTACTCACATTGCAGGAAACAGGACCTAGCTCAAACCCCCAGATTCACACATTCCTGCCAAATCCTCCATCTGCTCCTTTCTTGGTGTGGACAGATAACACCCAGAAGGTTTATGGCAAGGGAGCAGGAGAAAAACCATGTGTTGGGTACCTGCTTCTGAGCCTTGGGATTTAACCAATAGATTTTCCTCCTCTTTAGTTCACACACTATCACATGAAAATCTTTAGAAGGACAAATGAAGACCAAAAGTACAAAGGGAACACAAAGAGATAGTGAATCCACACTGACAGACAAGCAACAGACAGATTAGCTGTGCTTCCAAAGGAAAGTGCATCCCATCACTTCCCGATTTGCAGCCAAGATAATCTAAGACCCAAGGTGCCTGCATGCATAGTGGGGTGTGAGAGGAACAGATTTTAACAACACAGAAGGATAATGTCACTGTGGTTCAGCTCCTTCTACCCAGTGCCAGCTCTGGGCCAGGCAGGTGCATCTGGTGAGGAGCTGCTCCCAAGCAGTGGCTTCTGCTGTGGGGCTGCCTTTGGCTTCCAAACAGTCTGTGTCGGCCATTCCCTGCTCCCACTGCCAGGCAATCCCTGTACAGATACTGTAGCTTATAAAGAATTCAAAAACTGGCACATAAAATATATTTACTTTCTGTTTTCTTAGGGCAAGAAAATCCAGAGATGTCAAATTATCAGAGAGTCCCACAAGGAGTACAGCAGTGCATGTGCAGAGGGGTGGGCTCCTGGGTTCTTCAGCTCTGAAATTGAATCACTTCACTGAGGGACCCCTTTGCTTTTCACAAGTCCCCACAGCCTCTCAGCACCAGCAAAGCATTTGACACCGGTCTTTGAAGTCATGTTGTCTCCACCTGAGTCATACAAACCTTTTCCTTCATTCTGCAGGTATACCAAATAACCCTGGAAATTATTTCCAAGCATAATAAGAACCAGCGGGTTGAAGGAGAGCCTGCAGTGCACACTTGTGTCAAAGAAAGCCAGCAGCATCCTGGGCTGCACTGGGCAGAGCTGTGCCAGCAGCTCCAGGGAGGTGATGTGATGTTTCCCCTCATCTCAGCACAGAGAGACCCTCCTGCAGTGCTGTCCTGTCCTGGGCACCTCCAGTGAATCTAGTGAGGATCATTAAGGGATTGCTGACACGAGGGGAGAGTAAAAAAAGAGCTGTGACTGCGCAGCCTGGAGAACAAAAGGCTCAGGAGGATCTTATAAAATAAAGAAATGGAGCCAGATGCTTCTCAGTGGAGCCCAGTGAAAGGATGAGAGAGGCAGCAGGCACAAATTGAAATATGGGAAATTCCATTTAAAAATGTGAGAAACCCTTTTTACTGTGAAAGGGGTTAAACCTAGGACAGCGTCCCCATGGCAGATTATGGAGTCACCATCCTTGGAGCTGTTCAGAACCCAACTGGACTTGGCTGTGGGCACCTTGCTGCAGCTGACCCTGCTTTGAGCAGGGCAGTCAGAGAAGGGGGTTCCCAGAGGATCCTGCAGGATTTGCTCCTGTTTTATTTCAAGGCAGTGACTCCACCGGTCAGGTCCACACAAAACACTGATTTACATGTAGAAAACTCTGCCACAGCCACTTATCAATAAGAATAACAAAACTGAAATAATTTGTCAATAGTATCCTCCCCTTCTGTACTGCAGAAACTCCCCAATGTTTTAAAATAATGTGTTCACATTAACTACACCGATATTGGAAGCATTTTACAGGCAGTAGGTGGCACAAAAGAGACAGTTTTGGCAGAGCCCCAGGCTGTGTGCCGAGTGTTGGGACATTTTTGGGTTCAGTCCCCTGCAGAGCCCCAGGTGCCTCACAGAACACAAACTCGAGTTTTGGCGGGACATGTGGAGCTGGAGAGCATTTTGGTGGCTCTGCGGAGCGAGGTTTGCAGCTCAGGATGCACAGGGCACCCGAATCCCCAAAGAATGGACTCACTGCCCAGCCCTGCAGGAAGAGCCACCCAGCAGAGGATGAGGATGCTCTGGGCTGAGCCAGTGGGACCCCAGCCAGAGCCCTGAGGAGCTGCTCATGGGAAAGCAGAAGGCAGAAGAATGACAATCAGCAGGAATGTGAGCCCCGTTCCCACACTCTAGAGTAAGCTGGACAGTTAGAAAACATCAGTAATCTTCTTGGAATTTTTTTAAGTTTCTAAATTTAAAAGGAAAAGCTACTTTTCCACTTTTTGAATTAGAAAAAAAAAGTCTAAATATTTTAAAAATAAAATTTTACTGAAAAAAAATTTAAGATTGGGTTTTTAAATGAAGAATCTGTAACTTTTTCCAGCATGAAAACCTACTGCAATTAAAAATCTTTTGGTGAATAGCCTTTCTTTTCCAAGAGAGACATTCCATTTTCTTTTTAAATGTCTTTATTTATAATGAGGGTGTTACTTTATGCCTCATTTGGGTATTAATCTCTTAAGACTTCACAATTTTCTTTTTTATATTAGTAGAAAATTCTTTGTTCAACATTAATAAATACTGCCTAAAAGAGAAACTGCTATCAAAAGATTTTCTCTTCCTGCTGTCAGATGAGATTCCATTTCTTTATAGTGTTTATTTTAACTTCTGTTGTATAGAAGACCTATTGTGCTTATGGGCTCAAATAATGGAGGGACTTTCTGTGACTGCCTGTGGGTTTATTTACTGTACACCTGGGGAGAATTGATATACACAGAGGAGGCAAAAAACTCTCCTTGACTTAAACAAAGAAATCAGTTAGCAAAGTCTGTAGAAAAAAATTTAAATTAAGTATGTCTAGAAATCAACTTCACCAGGATGCAGAAGGTTAAAACACATATGCTATTGTCCCCTAAGTTCTATTTTTAAACACAAGTTGTAAAAAGAGCACTATAAAGCATCAAAACTCAGACTTAAAAACCCTAAACTGGTGATGCCTTTTGGTGCTCACAAATTTTCATGGTACAGTCATTCAGCTTTGTAGCATTGGTTTTTTGATGTTGGGTTAAAACAACGTAGATCTAAATTATCCTCATCAAACTTCAGAAATATGTGCAAATATAAAAATATTACCCTTTGGAAGCAAAAGCTCTGTGAGAACTCCTACCTCTCTTTTGTCTGGCGCTGGGACTGGAATTCCTGTTTTTATTGTTAGATGCATCCACATTTGACATCTCAGATTTGTTTTCATATATACTTGATGACTTCCTGCTATACCTTGGGACAAAAGAAATACAAAAATAGTAACATTCCTGTTAACATCTAATAAAGCACTGAGCACTAAGCATTCTTATTTACCCTCAAACATGGAAGCCTAAGGAACAAAGGACTGGTTTTAAAATGCTGTCTGGTACAAAAGCCTGCAGCTGTGCAGGCATATGTGGTGGGAAAAACCCATCCTGCCTCCTCTGCACACCACACAGTGAGGGATGTGGATTCATCAGCGTTGAGAAGGGAAAAATGGAGAAACAAGCTGGCTGTCTGCAAAAATTCTTTTTGCAAGTGCAGCAGATTTGAAAGGTTGGAGTGGGAAGCCAGGTAAGAAGAGACAACCCAGATTTTCCTTCTTTTGCAGCATAAATACATTTGTCTCCAGGAGAGAAATGGATACTGGATGGTCACATAGAGGTCACACCATGCATAAGCAACATATGAATTCTATTGGCTTCCCCAACTTCTGTTTCTTCTGCTCTTTGGAGTATGAATCCCAGTGGGATATCCCTGTCTGCAGCTGAATCACAAATGGGAGGATCCACCTTGACAAAGCTGCTCAGGTACTGCCTTGGGTAATGGGACTGAGGCCCCTGTCCCAGGTTTGTTGGACATTCAAACTGCAAGGTTTTCTTGTGGTTCTTTGCAAATGTCTGGTGATTTAATTTGGATGTTTGACTGTTATTTTTGGCAGACTGCTCCACACAAATCACTGTATCTACACATTTGAAATACTCTTTGCCAAAGCTCTTGTTATTGACACGTATCAGCAATTAAACTGCTGCTTGCAAATAACACGTGAACTGCTGTAAGGGAAGGTTCAAGATACATCATTAACAACTTCAAAACATTTTAAATACAAGAGGTTTGTTAATACCTTTTCTAAATATAAAGTAGTCCAGGACTCATTGTTTTGCATTTGAACTTTTGACCTGTTTCTGATGGAATCTTAGCAAGGTCTCTGTTACCTCCTGTACTCCATCAAAATGTGATTTTGCAGCCTCATGTCGGGTACAAAATGGGGCTCAAAATAAACATGGGAGCAAATCCAAAGCACACTCACATTTCCTTATTCTTTTTTCTCTCTTCCCAGCTAGGCTGGGATAACTGTGAAACATGCAGCTGACAGAGTTAAAGATTTACAGCTGTGAGAAAGACACCAAGAAAACAAGAGCTTTTCTGAAACAGCATCTGCAGCCAAATTCCAAGAGTTTGTGTTTATCCATGTTCACAGGATATTTTTACATGGATGTATGACTGCATCAGTCATTTCCAACAAAGCAGATTGTTAAGCAGTTAGAACAATAGACTATTTAAATTTCATGTGTTTAAATAGATTAGAAAACAATACAAAGGGATCATTTCATTATCAATGAAATGCAGCAGCCATTCCTTGAGAGAGAGATACAGCAGCAATAGATACCACTGGGCATCCTATTTTAGGATTAAACAGTGCACTTTGTGGAAGAACTTGGGAAGAGAGAGAGAGAGAGAGAATTGAAATAGATTGAAGAGGAATTAGGGACACTCAGAAACTGCCTGTGTGTAGGACACTGGCTCTAAGTGTTCCTTTTCCCAACACCTCAGCTCCAATCCCAAGTCAGGCCTGCCTTATCTCATGGAATTGCAGTCCCAAGTGATGTTGGTGGCATGTAAACAGTAAAGGGGATAGTCTTTGTCATGGGACAGATACAGCTTGGGGAGGGGAACGCATCCTGCAAACAGATTTCCCCAATGTCACAGCAGAGGTTTGCTAACTCCCAACAAACAGCAGAGTCACTGTCACACATGGGCAGTCCAGGAGGAGGTGTCTGTTGGGTAGATAACATGGCAGTGATTGATCAGCCTCCTTCTGCTGGCAGAGCACTGGTGGTGCTGGCTGCTCTTTAGCAGATGCTGTCTCCTCTGCCTCCAGCACCTCTCACAGCTGGGGCTGCTTGGTCACACCAGCCATGAGCACAGGCTGTGCCACCTGGTGGCTGCTGCAGCCCAGCCTCTTCCTTCCCCTCCTTGTCTCCCCCAGCAATCCAGAGCAGGCTGCAGAAAGGGCTCCCCAGTCTGAGGAACTCTGGATCCACCATTTCACATCAACTCCCGCACAGTCAGCTTGTTGCTGCAATTCTTCTGCCCCAGCTTATCTTGGGGACACATATAATAACAGATAATGGCACACTCTGAACTTTGTGCCATTCATCACAGCCCAGAACATTGTTCTTTCATGAAGACTCACTGCATTCTTCCTCTTTCTATAATAACCCAGCACTTGGAGAAGGAGTATCTGACCTCTCTTTTTCTGGCACAGTTGGCAGAGTGAGGACAACACTTCATTTTTCCTTTGGATTAATCCACTCTAGGACAAATAGCTGATCACATGGCCTTTCTTCCTGGAGTTAATTTTCTGCTGACATATTTTGTCTATAATTTCTGCTCTGGAAAATCTCACTTTAAGAGCCTTATAAGAAGGACACACATCTGGGTTCTTCTGAAACATTTTTGTGATTGCACTTCATATCTTACTGGAATAATTTTCTCCTATCCCCAGGGTGGTTCTGCTGAAAGATTTTCATCCTTGAACCCTAAAAAAGGCAAAGCCTAGAGAAAATATGGAGCAGGATTAATAGCACTACATCTGTTTAATATTTCTTGCATTGACTTGTTCAACTCTCAAAGGCTGGCTGTTACCTGGGATCTCCTGGCTTGGCTGACCCTGCTAAAATTTTACAGTGAAATCCCATGCCAACTTACATTAAACTTGCCCAGCAACTGGGTCATTACAAAACTTTGCTGACAGCTCCATTTAAGATCCTGGAAATGTTCCAATATTTTTAACTAAACTTGAGTTAGTCTTTGAAATTAATTCTGCATTGTGATATAACTTCTCTCTTGAGCAAACCTTTATCTGTGTTTATTTATCTTTAAAGAATTTGAAGACAATTGAAGGAAGCTAAACACAAAAACCTATGAATTTATGTACTGCAAAAGCACAAATGCAAGACAAAACATGGCCCTGATATGTCAAGGCAGCTGTGATTACCTGCTTGCATTGGAGGAATCCATTGGTGCATGATACACACTCTCAGTGATTCTTTGGTGCAGTTGACTTGCTTCTGTTAAAAAAAAAAAAGTAAAAAGAAGCTGCTCCAAAATGTTTCAATTGCTTCTGTTTTATGTAGAAGGTGGGAGAGAGAAATAGGAGAGATTTCGACTGCCACTGCAATCAAAATGGAATGCTTGTACTTGAAGAGAAAGGCATATTAAGATCTTAATGAAATCTTTTAGCTCACCAAACAACTCACATTTTTTTCACCACAAAAGAGATTTCTTTCTCTACTACCTTCCCTTTTCTCAGTACCTCCTCCTAGCTAACTGCATGATATTGATCTGGAGAACGGATAATGGCCTTTTTCCCAGAATACAAGTTTTGTGGCTCACAGCTTTGTCTGGATTTAGCAACACATGTCCATCAGTCCTTTTGCATACTCAGCCACATCGCAGAATATATCCCTATCTCTCTGCAGAATGCTTTTGCTCAGCATCCTCAACAAACAGTAATCAGAAAATGGCATATATGCCATTTGTTCACTCTTTTTGCAGGGCCACAAGGTAGCAACAGACTTGTACTTTGCCCAGTAAATGCTGAGTGAAGAAAAATTATAAGACAGTTGCTCAGAGTCTGGACTTCAGGGCCAGAAGAGTCAGACATTGAGAAGTGAGGAAGCAATGGAAGGAGCTGCTTTCAAACTCATATTGCTGAGATCCCTGGGCTATTTCACTCTGAAAAAGATGAACCTCCTATCAGTGAAAGAGACACGACAAGGGGATGGGGCAGCACTGAAAGATTAAACTCAGGTAGTTTATTGGTGGGGTAGAAATGCCCATGCTGGCTCAGGAGTGGGAAGTAGCTCCATTCCTGGGTTTGGCAATTGATTCATGGCCTTACACAAATCCCTTAAGCTGTATCAGTAATTCCTTTGCCTGCATTCTTGGGGATTGATGGATCAAGGTGCTGCCCAAAGCCTTGTTGGCACTCCATGCTCACTGCAGTCTCTGACAGGGCTGGGTACACACCAAGTGTTTGGACACCAGTGACCCATATTTTAAACTATTTATCCCATCCTGTGGCCACCTTCTCTGCCCCTCGCTCATCCACCTCAGCTGGTTCCTTCCAACGTTCCAACCCCGTGTGCAACTCCTAACAACAGTCATTAAAAACAGCCAAAAAACCAAATATATCCCTCTTCCTTCTCCCATTGCAATGCTCAGTTATAAAAATATCCAGTCTTGGATTAAGGCCTCTTGTTTTGTGAGTCATTAAAAAAAGAAACTTTAAAACCACAGGACAAAGCATGTGCTTCCTGACAGCAGTTGTTGTAGTAAGGGGTTTGATTCATGTGAACATTTGGGAAAAGGCAATGGGAAGAGTTGCAATAGCATATGAGATACAATTTATATCCTCTGACTGCTGTTCTGCTGGATTCACAATAAATAAAGGAAAGCTTGACTATATTCACAGAGTAGAATGAAAGTCACCCTTGGATGGTCTCGAGACCATACTGAATAAAGTCTTGAGTAACCTTGTTTGACCAATAACTGACTCTGCCCTGAGCTGGACCTTGGACTGGGATGTCCTGACATCCCTTGAAAGCTGAAATATTCTAGAATGGTATGATCTTAGTGCAAAACAATAAAGAACATCAAAATAGAAATGTTTCAATCAGTCTTGATTCCTGTATATTTTTCTCTGGAAAATGCAAAGCAACTCTAATACCTTATAGGTCTTGTATGCTATAGAGGTTTCACTAATGCTCATCTGGGTAACATACAAGCCTAATTTCCTTTGCCTAGAAACACAAATAGAGGACTAGCACTCTATCCTATTAAATATGTACATTTTCTCCATTAGCACCTCTTTGTGGTAGCCTAAGTAACCAGCTTTTATACTTCAGAAGCAAATACTACAAACCATATCAGAAAGTCTCTAGATCCAGTCCTGAAACTGCACTAACAAGAATCTTGAGGTCTTTCCTCAGCAGTTCCTGATGAACTAATCACAGTAAAATTCAGAATAAAAAGGAGAAAGGATGAAGGAAAGATCAGTAACACAAGTCCAGAGCAGTAAACATCGTAAATAAGTGTATTGTTATGGGTTGGATTCAATTGCTAATGTTCATAATTGTTTCCTTGTACCTAAGGAGGATGCAAGAACTCATTGTCTTTGTGAAACAGGCAATTAAAATAAAGGTGACCTCCAAAGTTAAAGCACAGACACAAGTTTCTACCTTGGACAAAGTCTGCTTAGGAATTTGAAGGATGTGGGTGGAGAGGCTTTGCTGACCTTTGCTTTAAAGAGAGATGAGTGTATAAAAGAAACAGAAACTGACAGACCAAGGTGAGAGGCAATGCCAAGATTCAGGAAAAGTCTGTAGGGTTTTTTGTCCTAAGAGAATAAATAGAGTAGCATCTATGATAGCTATCATCACTATGTTCTTTTGCTATCTGAAATAACCTGACTGGATTTTGTCTGTCTGGGGTTCAATATCTTATATATAAAAGGGTGTCATTATTTTAGTTATTTAGGAGGCTTCAGTTATTGACAGTGTTGAACACATCACAAACCACCTTCATAGTGACATCTCTGTGAGAGAGGGAAATGTCATGAACCATGTTCTACAGGGAGGTCACTAAGATGGAAAGATGGGACAACTGACATTTAGAACATAAGGTGGGGGGTGACTAGATTTGAAACAAAAAACCCTTAAAGCCCAAACAAAACAAAGCAAAGACTAAAACAGAGGAGCATTTGCTGTGTCCAGTCATGGGTGTGGAAGGAGACCTTTCGATCCAGGAGACACGGAGTGCACACCCCTTCTCCTCACATGCTGAGGTAAAAGGATGCTGCTGGAGTTGTGGCTTGAGAGGGACAACAGAGGAAAACCATGTTCCTTGGACTAACTGTGAATGGAATAGTTATCCCTGTCACTTCTAAAAGTCCAAGAAATTTTCTTTAATCAGGACATGGCTTTAATCCCAGCAATGCAGTAACTGCCCAGCTGGTCCTCGCTGGCTTCACTGGGGGTCCTGGCTGGCACAGAGGCTGTCCCAGCCCCATTTTGTCACACACAGCTAGAGGGGAAGGACACATTGCCAGCTGCTGCTCTGTGAGCCCTACCTCTGCATGCCTCCAGCTGTCCTGTCAGGACTTTGCGGATCTCTGAAATCCAGGTGTTCTTCAGCTCAACAGAAGATGCCTGAGAACAAAGAGGACAAGGCAAAGCAGATCCAGTTAAAACATGCTGCCAATCACTGGGCTGCCCTGACCTACACTGGCTCTCAGCTTTGCCAAGGACTGGAACACTGTGGCCAGCTTTGAGCAAAAGAGACACTCCTCAACATAGAAAAGTTACTACAAATCCAAAGTCCTGTCCTTGCTTTTCCAGCATTCCAAGGAATTTTCTAGTACTTTATTTCTTCTTTTGGCCAAAATCCTGACCATTTTCACAATAAATTAGCAATTTCAGTGCCTTTGAAAGTGCTTCACCAATAAAGCTCTCAATGGCTATTGCTTCTGGAGTGTACAGGACAGTGAACATTCTTAAAAACAACTCACTTGAAAGGAAGTATAGCCCTTGGAGACAAAAAGAATTGTCATTACCTGAATGATATAGACTTCTTCTCTGCCATTATACCAGATCTCAAACTTCTTATTATCCCCTTTTACGTTTTCTGTAATGCCCACAGTGCTCATCTGTTTCAAAATAGAAAACAAGAAGCTGGAATCTGGAAAATATCAACAGTCTTTAAACTTGATCCTCTGAGGAGCATTTTTAAAAGGCTGCATTCACTTCTGGCACCTTTGGGAGTCATTAAAAGTAAAATTCAGAGCATGTTATTTCTCAGTATCTAATTTGTCATTTGTCTTTTTGATTGCTAAAGGGAAAAAGAATGTTCAAAATTAACCCAAGCTAAAGTCTGATCTTGAATTTATCCTCTTTTCTTTTATTGCTTGATCTGTGGATCAGTTTTCAACTCCATTCTGGCTCTTGTTCACCTTGATAAATTTTCACTTTTAGGACAGTTTTTTTCACTTGCTATCACTGACCTGTTGAGATGGGAGAGAAAGAGGGATGGAATAGGGCTTTGTGAGATTTAATAACCAGTCTGCAAATCCAGAAGACACAAAAAACCTGAAGAAAAAAATTTCTAGATTTCTTAAATGAAAACTTCTTAATCACAGTCTTGAAGTTCAGCTGCTACTAACCAGCTTCTCATCTTATTACTGTAATTGCTGATGCCTCTTGTTCACATCCACATCCGCATTAATTTAAAGATTTAGACAGTGTTATGCCACCATTCCTTCTATCTCTACAGGAAGAAACTTGAAATACTTATATGAATTGATTCAAGCCTTGAAACAGGTTCTGTTACAATTCCTGTCTGGGTACCCTGAAATAAGTTTGGAACATTGCACTTGATGATCTGTGTTAGCTGGTTGAAGTCACAAGTGTCACACCAATGTGCTTAGAGGGAAAATGTGGCCTGCTTGTGATTGCCACCTTAAAATGTCCTGACTCATATCTGGAAATTTCACTCTTGCAAATAAAAGGGCACTTCTACTGCACTGATTCATCTGTAGGTGTTATTGCCACAGAAAATACTAGCTCAGCTGTGCCAATGGTAAAACTTGCCATAGAACTGCACCTGGAGGACGCCTGTAGGCAGAGCAATGACAGATGCAGGTCCATTCAGTCTGGCTTCTCTTTATGGATGCCGGCCAAGATCACACAAGGCGCCCCTTTGTGTCAAGTTGCAAAGAGCAAGGCTCACATCTGCAGTTGCAGGATAGCTTGGTGTGTCTCCAGTCCAAAACTAAATGGGAGCTGTCATTTATTCAGGGGTGCAAGACAGCTTCTTCAAATCCCCATGTGGGCACATCCCTGCCTGTGAGAACACCAGACTTATCTCCCTTCCCCATCATTACTGCACTTATTACCTTTAATGAATTTTTAAAGCTGTATGAAGCTGTCTTCTCATGGCCATCGGTGTTCTCCTCCCGTTTCTTGCAGAAAAGCAGCATCTTTGTATAGAGGAAGAGGTGTCTCTGCATGGGTTTGAACCTAGCCAAGTCCTTCACCTTGTTGTGCCCCTTCTTGTGGTCAGTCCATACGTTGAAGGAACCCTGCATCAACAGCTTGCCAAGCTCACTGACATCCCCCTAGCAAGCAAGGAAAAGAGAGAGCATAGATCACACTCAAACCAGGGTAGACCCAGGCACAATTCATTCCTCTGCTGGTGTTTGAGGTTCCAGGCAGAGGCATCCCTTCTGCTGGAGAATGCACATGTCCCCTTGCTAAGCCGGTGTGGTTTCTTCCCACAACCATTAACCCACTGGTTTCCATGTCCATAATTCCCAGTTTGTCTCCCCACACATAGCTAGCATTTAAGATCCACCTCAGGATCTCTCTGGATGTGACACACAGGCTGTCCCCTCTGGTGACCTCAGAGGAACCTTCTGCTGACAAAAACTGTGTTTCAAGGCCCCTGACTCCAAGGCAGTAGGAAGGGCCAGTGCAGCCCAATACCCAAACAAAGGCTTTGGCTCTGGAAGATTTAGTTTCAGTTTCCAATCTTGTGCAAGCTTCCTTCATCCCTGGGCAAAACCTTGAAAGAGCTCAGATGCCTGAAGTCACAGATCAGTGCCTAGAGCTGTGTAGGTATGTAATTCCCTCCTGTTTCAAAATAGTCTTTACAAGCTTTGTCAATAATTTCTTGGCTCACCATCTGCAAACTATGCAACACTGCACAGCCCTGGGCAAAGAGGGAGTGAATGCACCAAGGAGCCATAAAAGTACCTGAGGGAGAGTGAAGCTAGGCAGGAACAAGACCTTTCTAAATTAAAGCTCTTGTCTGAAGGGAAACTACTTCAATTGATATAAATATTTAGCTCAGATGCCACCAGAACAATCCCACATTAAAAGTGGAGGAATGTGTGTATATAAGACATGGCAATGCCTATATGCTAATGGGATTCAACAAATTATGATAATCATAACTATCTTAACACAAGTTTTCCTAGGAATGCTTTGTATAATAAGTTGAGGGAATAAGCCCAGTGCATTATTAAAGTACTTACTTTCAACATTTGCATGTTCTGTCGATTATAAGGTGAAGATGTTGGCTCCAAGTGGGAATGTCTCATTGCTTATACTAAGAATTGCAACCTGCTCTCCCTCTCTCCCTCTCACTCCCCCTCCTCTACCCTACATTCAACTGCAAAACCAGAGCTTTATTAGGTACTTCTACACTCCATATCAGTGTATTATTAGACTCTCCAAACCATTCAGAAAACCTCAGCAATTTAGATAATTCTGTCATCTCTAATATATAGATCTGGATCTTGTCTTTGTGCATACAGGACTGGAGGTGTTTGTATTTATATGTGCATGTAGGTATAAACTGCAAGCATGTGAAAAGCACATGGATATGCAAAGCTAAATTATAAAAAAAAAAAAAAAAAAAAACCAACAAAAAACACAAGCATATTTTCTACATGGTTCTGACAATGGTGAGAGGCTCCTGTCACTCCAGGCACTGTCCAATACAGCACTGAGATCCAGAAGCTCAGTTCAACTCTTGTGACAAGTCTGTCTTTCCAACCTTGAATCCCTTGGGATTGGGATAATAGTGAGTGAAGTGAGAGACAAGAAAGAGACAGACAGGGATGGCAGACTGCAGCAATCCCACAGCAGATTTTGAATATTAGCCCACAAGCACTGCACTGTCTTCAGTGTAGGCAGCAAATAGGAGGACACTGTTTCTGGTAATTTCTGCTAGTGGACAGCAATATTTTATCCTAAAGGAAGTTTATTGAAAGTGGAGGATTTGATCACTATCTCAAATATAATTATTCCCTTTTTTTTTTTTTTTGTGGTTTTACCTAAAAATAAAAAACATACATCAATCCATCCCCAGACTTACATGTTAGCAATTTCTTACACAAGAGTTCAGCTCCCCAAATCTGCATGTGCCCAAGTCCAAGAAACAGAAAGTGCAGTTGGGAGCATTCACCAGCTGTCCCAAAACCTGCTTCCCTACTGCCATAATACCCCTCTCTGAAAGGTTTTCCAGGCAAGTATTTCTATCATGGCTGTGTGGGAAAGACTCCACAAGATGGAGTGTGGTTTCATTGTCTATGGGAGGTGTTTACTTGGCACCACAGCTGAGCACCTGGGACAGGTGGAACAAGGAGAAGAAGTTACTTGGTACATCCTCTCTCACACTTTTACCCCATTTAAAAATCATGTAACAAAGCATCTCAGGAATGCTGTCAGCATTGGGCTAAACAGTGGCCATGTCCTACTCTGCCATGTCCTACTTTTGCAGCTCAGCTAAGAAAGCAGAGGCAAAAATCTAGTCCTTGGAGTTACTATCTGGTATTTCATGAAGGGCTGGAAAATTCAAAAGTAAAAGTCGAAAAGGAACAGGAATGTTTTGTTGAATTTCTGAGTACAAAACTACTCACACTTTAATGCAAGGAATAGACGAAAGGATGACCACAGCATTTATAGGGACAGGAATCTGGATAAATCCCCCCTACTCAGGATAGTATGTTACCTTTCTTGGAGAAGCTCTTCTTCCCTTCCCTTTACAGAACTGTTCTGAAATAAATTTTTTGGTGAATTGCTCTTAGTACATACATTTAAACTGAGAAATACAGGAGGAAAGCTACCTTTCTCTTTGAGAATTAATAAGAAACAGTGGAAATTGGGAGGTAGAAGGTGTGCTGTATCTATGATACAACCTTCCCATGTCCATGTTGACTGGTTCAAGTCTGCAATAATAATATACAGGCTCTAAAGAGTTTTTCTAAAATGAACTAAAAGGAGTCTCTGAGACACTCAGACTTAGCCATGACCAGAATGGATTAAGTATGTGCTTCTTTATTTGTCAGGTTTAGGAGATCTCAGATGGTATTTATGACCTGTGGTGTTTCTCTGATCCACAAGCACCACACCTGTTCAGTGTTTGCCAGTTCAATGAGGTGGCCACTGCTTCACCTTCAACCCAGTGCAGCCACTGCAGGCAAAACTCAAATTCTCATCTCAAATGTAATGCACAGTCCACATCTCCAGCTGTGTGCAGCAATGGATCTGTGACAAGCAGTTAAATGAGCAAGCAACTGTATTTATTTATAAAATCATGTTGGCAGCAGGCATGGGTTCCTCAGCTACCAGATGCAGATGCACTTGCACAAAAGAGAACTATAGAAATCAAAACTCCTGGGGCCATTCCCATCCTGATAACCAGAATAACTCTTCCCACTCAGACATTGTCTGTACAGACCTCAGCATCTTCTCAGGAAGTCAGATTTTGCACAAAATAGTTTTTCTGGATTAAAGCCTGTTACTGTGATGTAAGAATTCTTTGAACAATACTCAGTATATTGTTTCTTTCTTGACATTTTCACCCTGCAGCTATTTCAAAATGGGCAACCACATGATTCTCAGGCCTCATTTTGTCAGGCTTATTTCTCCTTTATGTGTCAATCACTTCCACTTCTCACTCAAGGGCTCATTTTATGTAGTCAGCACTAGTTCTTGAAAGTCATATGACTTCAATGGAGCTTCTGCAGAGACATACATTTGTGCCCTTTGATTTGTATCGTGGCTGTTATTTCACATTTCAGATAACAAGCTTGCCAATCACTGGCACAGATTCCATTACCCACTTTAAATGAAAGCCACATTTTTCTCCCTAAGTGCAAAAGATTTGAAAACACTTGAGTTGCATAGGAGCCACAAAGTTTCAGCAAATTTCTTAAGTTAGTTTTGCTACACTTGTACCTCTCACCTACAAATGAGTTTTGGGTGCAATTACTCAAAAGTCCTGCATTTGCCCCATTAAGCCCCCACATTCACACCCCAGCTCCACACGACAGGGGTGCTGAGATGTATTTTTGGTCATCACAACACACCTCTGAGTGCCACCCTTCAGGAATGTGGCACAGGCTCCATAAAGCACATCACCAGCCACAGGCACAGCATGGTCAGTGGTGACAGGAACATGGGATGGCTCAGAGCAGAGGAGGAGCAGCAGCAGTTACCTCATATCCTGTGATTGCTATCTGGTGCATGGAATCATTCACTGATTTGATGATATCAAGCACCGTGGCCAGGGCTTCTTCCAATTCAGCAGTGCCTTCTGAGTTCTTGCTGCACTTCAGCATTTCCTGGTTAAAAATAGATATGGGGAATACTTGAGAACCTCTGATACCAGAAGTTACTGTCAGACAATCCTCCTGGAATTTGTGTCGCATAAACAAAGTAGCAGAACTAGAGGAAAACAAAAGAGGAACAAAAAAACCAAAAAAACCCCAAACATGACATTCACCAGGGTGGTCACTGAGGACACACATTTTGATCTTTTGAACATTTTCAAGTTTAAAGGGTTCATTTAAGATGAGACAGGACCATTGTGACATATTTACAATGAACTCTTTGCATGCCATAGAATTACATCCAGGGGTTTTTTTCTTCACATCTGCTAGAAAAGAAACTCAGTATAATTATTTCAGGTGTTAGACAGTTCCCCATTTTCTTCTGCAATTAGTTGCACAATGTACTTACTACCACTGTTAAAAATACAAATTAATTTCTAGTCTGAATTTGGCAGGTTTGACATTCTGCATTTTGAGTTTGGAAATCTTTTAATCCAAAAGCTGAGGCACTTGTGTTCCTGTAAAATAGGGATGCAAAAAGGTAGTTCCTGCAAACCTCAATCAGCAGCAATCTGTCCTCAAGTGCTTGGTTAACCAGGGATTAGAAGGTAAAAGCAGGATGCATTCTGACAGTACCTGCCGCACATTTTCCAGAATGAGGATGGAGCTCATGAGATGTGAGCATGCTGCTTTTATCAGCATGAGCACATTAGCTAAACTGATTGAAACCAGAGGGTTGCAGTGATTGTGATCCAAAATTCAAATTCAGTCTGTCCACCACTCAAGGCACACAGCTTCTTAAACACCTGTTTGTCACAAATTTTTCCCTGGCTTCTATTTTTCTACACTTTTAAATGTTCCTGCAGCCAGGGAAGGAGTGCACCATCTTCCCAGACCTCATAAACCCTGACAAAGTAAATGCCAGTGCCAATGTGTTGTTGCTAAGTACGAAACTGGTCTGACCAGCTTCAAACCCCAATGGCTGAGACCTATTTTGCTTGAGAATTTTACTCCTTGATCTAATCTTGGGTATATTTACAGTCATATTTCAAATTAAAAGTAAAATCTGGTTTACTCTTGCTTTCCTGGAGACCTTGACTTTTTTTCCCCTTCTCACAGAATAGTTTCAAGAAACAGAGTTCAAATTTATTTCTGGACTATGTTGATGTAAATCTACTGGAATCAGTGATATTGCATCCTTGTCTATATCCATGTTCAATATTTGGATTCTATAGTTTTACATGAAGTCAATAAGCAGAAATACAAGAATGGCCAAGCAGGTCCTCCCATGGCTTATACTGGCACATTTTGAGCAGTGCCATAGTAACTATTAGCAAGTTAAATGGCAACCAAAAGTCTTCATTGCAAACTTCAATGCTAAATTTCATGAGAGTACATAACACCACTTTAAGCCCAGAGGCTTGAGAACAGCATGTAATTCACCTTCATGACCTTCCCACAGGGAAAGTCAGTAAATATTATTTTTAAGAACTGAGTAGATGGAGAGAGACATTTAGGCAACCAGCTTTAAAAAAAAAAAAATCATTGTTTTGAGTGTATATATTTTCTATTGCCTTCAGATCAGAATTTCAAGCATGGACCACTCATGGTTCCAACCAATCAAGAGTAAGTTCACATATTGACCTTATCGAAAAATGACAGACAATGTGTTCCTGGCTGTGTCTTTTAAAAAGAAGCAGGAGAGGGAGTGGCTCCCTCTGAAAGGTCTGAGTCACAACCATGGGAAAATATTACTTCAAGGAGCTGAAAGAGTTCTGTTAAACAGGGACAGATGTTACTGACAGGATTTAAGGCATCAGTTCCTGTTTTCAAATTGTAAAACTCTATACTGATACAATAAAACCAAGCTCAATTTCTGTTTAAAGATAAATAAAACAATAAAATACTATCTTAAAAAATAAGTAAAATATTTTATATAGAGAGAGCTATACATGTAATGGTATACTGCTATTACTTAGTATAAGTACTGCTAAGTAATAGCAGTTCCCAATCTAAAATAGATTGGGATCTATGGGGAAAAAGTCTAATCTAAAATCTAAAATAGATTGGGAACAGGAAGTCCCTGTACAAGACTGTTTTCTACCATTTACAACTAAAAAATGCTGAGTATTTGCTGAAGAACTGAGTAAGGATTTATTTCCAGGTAGTCATGAGTGATATGCAATTCTGGAAGTAAAACAAGCCATACATTGGAATTCTTTGCACTGTCATGGAGGCCTTACCTTTAGCAGCAGCTGGTACTTGGTGATTCTCTGAACTGGCTTTAAGAGATAAGCATCAAGTGAGAGCTTATGATCCAATTTACGCTGACATTCCTGCAGGAGACAACACAGAAGAAAAATAAAATTGTTTCTTGAAACACAGGCAAGTCACCAAGATCATTATCATTTGACAATCTGAGGATTATAAGTCTGTGAATTAATTGAGAGAGAAATTTGTTCCATCTGCATAGGAATTTCCAGGTTACTTATCCCACAGTGAAAATATATCTAAACAAGGGCTAATGTTTAGGTTCCACTTGGTGTTGAAATCTGGCATTCCCTGCTGATGAGATTGCAATCAGCTGGGATTTGCAAAGCAGCCAACATTTTTTGGTGTGGGTTTAGCCTGCAGAGTCAGGCTCCCATCCAGGAAATCTACCCACTTCTCTACCTGCCCAGTCTCCTGTAGAGAACACCTTGACACACACTGGGCACCTGCCATCAGTAGAAAAAGCATGCAGGAAAGTCTGTATTTTGCTCTAGGTTTTCTAAAGAACAGAGATACACAAGGAAAATGAGCTTTGAGGGTCTTGCACTGTAGTCTGCAATGAAATTCCACCTGAAAAAAGATGCTGTCTCCACATTGTCTCCAGAGAGCTTCAGACCTTGGTTTGTTCTGACAGTACTTTTCATATATTTGGAGGTCCTCCTTCTGCAAGAAAAGAAGAGTTTAGGTAAGGGAAGAAAAAAAAAATCCAGAGTGTCTTTCTTGAATCACACTTTTTCTTATCTTCCATCCTAAGACATGAAGTAATTTTTACATGGGAATAACTTTGTATGTAAAAACACACTGAAACCACCAAACCTGCTTTTTACTTCTGATTAAGTTAAATACAACTGAAAATGAGATTTTTTTTCCCCTCAGTTTTCATACAAAGCAAGGAGACTGCAGACTGGAAGATAAATAATTTAACAGCAAACCCAGTATCTTTTTCAGGGAGGTAAATTGGTGGTTTGGAGAAAAAACAAAGCAAAAAAGAAACATTAGGAATTTAAACTTTATTAGCAATTTTATTAACAATACTGGCACAGACTGTAATTGTTAATGATGACTAAGGTTTAGCAGTTCAAAAGACTTCAAAAATAGTGTTGGCTCTCAACAGTACAAACACAAATTAAAAAGGAGGAAGTTTGTCTTGTTGATGTCCCAGGCCAGGCAGGGGAATGTGCTTAAACCTTGTCCTCTCCAAATTCGAAGTGGGTAGATTCCCTTTATTTAGCTTTGACTACACTCCAAGTGCTCTCACTGAGGTCCATGGCAAAAATCTCCCTGACTTCAGAGAAAACAGAGACAACCTCAAAAAAAGCCCAGAAAGGGTGTTCTGAGCTCTGTGGGCGGATGCAGGGATGGGTGCTCCTCTGCCAGGACCTGGGCTGGCAGGGATGGGTGCTCCTCTGCCAGGACCTGGGCTGGCAGGGATGGGCACCCAGGTGCCCAGAGGGCAGTGCCATGGGGCTCCTGAGCAGGGTTGGCTGTGCCTGACCAGCCAGGAGCTTCCCACCTTCATCTGCACCTACCCTGCTGGGATGTGACCTCAGCAAATCAAAGAAAACACCAAAAATAAATCTCAGCAATTCCTGGATTGTTCCTCTGTGCTCTCAGCCCACCAGGCAGTTCCCATACACTCCTGCTGCAGGGAAATCACTTCCTTCTGTACAATTACCAGAAGAAATCAGCATTGCTGCTGTCTTCCTCCACAGACCCATCCTGACATCACCCTGATGAATCAGCTGGGAAATCAGAGCTCTGCCACCTAACACCACACTGTGTCAAGGATTGTGCAATACAAAAACCTCTTCTGTTGCAACTCTATAGAATATTTATCGTGCTGTTTCAAAATAGGTGCAGAGTTTTCTTCACAAAAATATAATTATTTGTACATGTTGCCCTGGAGGGAAGTTAGCAGGCGGTAAACCTCACAGAACCAAAAATAGCAACAAAGCATAATCAAGGATTACAATCTCATGCTAGCCCACAGAAACCTAACTGGACTGGGTAAGAAAAACAGAGAGAGCAACAGACAAGAGAACTGTGAGGAATAAGTGAAAAAAAACAATTTAAACTTAAAGAAAATTTACAATTACCAACAATTTACCAGTTATTTGCCATAGTGGAACCCCCCTATGCCAGTGCAATCTACTGCTGCCTAAATCAGTGACACCTGCTAAGGCAGATACATATTTAATTACAGCTTTAAGTTTTGCAATAGTGTTAGGAATAGAATTAGGCTCTGACTTTAAAATGCCAAGAAATAATTGATTGTCTAATTATTCAAATCCCAGTCTTAAATATTCCACACATCTCTATTTTCACATGCAAAGGTTCTGACTTCCTGCTGGTACTTTTACACCATGCTCCTCTCTCTTGCAAAGCTATTCCTTTCCACACTGATTTGGACCCTGAAAGCTCTGTAAGCTCCAATGCACATGGCATATAAGCACAGTTCCAATTATCTTTTTGACTGCTGATTTATGGATAATTTTTGCATTAGTCTAGAATTTAGACCTTTGCATCAAACTCACAGGTTTCTGGTCAGCTGCTACTGTCCTTTCACAGGTAGATTCCTTTTCTAAATGCTTCTTTCTCCCTGAATAACCAAATGTCCCAACTGCTGGTTCCTATTAAACTATTCCCTATTTTAAGGTTAGCAATATGAATAAGTGCAGAGTGGTAATCCACAGTGAATCACTCCTGCCAGGAACTTCACCTGGCATATTCTGGTAAGCAGTCTGACACACCTTTGGTTCCCTCCTGGGCATTCTTGCCTTAGTTCAGTAAGGTTTCCTTCTTCACAGCCCTTTGGAAAGCAGATCAGCCCAGAGCGTCCCTCCTGTTGCTGATAAAGCACCAGAAGACCATTCTACAAGGAATTCAGTGCACATCCCTCCTGTCTTTGAATGCTATATAGTCCTTGACCACACAGAGCTCTAAGGAAGGTCAAGCATCTTGGTGATGGCAAAATAGCTGCCATGTGGGTAAAGTTAAGCTGGCTCACTTGTAATTGAGCTCATCTGAAGATCATGCCCTAAACGAGGTCAGGCAAAGTGGGAGGGAGAACAAGAAAGGCATTTCTGGCTCATCTTTTACCAGATTCTGCTGCCATGTGCCAGGAGACAAAGCCAGAGACCCCACAGGCTGTTTCTCCCACCACCTGAGATGCAGGGTTCACATTCATGGTGACAGCTGCTCAGGTGGCATTGGTGGAGCTGGGAGGGTGTGTGGGGACATGGCAGGGGATGGAGTGACTCTGGCACCAGAGTGTCTCACTGCAGCTCTCAGGATACTTTCAAGCAGCTCTGGAATCAGGGCTGAAAAGGCCCAGGGTGATCAGACAGAGTAAAACTCTTCAAAGTATGAATTTTTAAAAAACTGTCTATTTCCAATCATAAGCCCATCCTGTTGTTGTGGCAGGAGGGTCACACCCATACAAAGGGGGAGAACCTACAAGAGTGTGAGTTCCTCCCAGAGCTCAGCATCACTTGGAACAGCAGCTGCTTCTGTTTGCCCCCGTCACTGCAAGCACAGCCATAACTCACAGGGCAGCCAGAAGCCACTGCTCAGCAGGAAGGCATAAAAAGCTGCCAAATCATGGGGAACACAAACACACAACCAGACTTTTGTTTGTGCCTCCCAAAGGCAGTCCAACAGAAACAACACATTTCTGGACTTTATGTGGCTTCTTCTAAAAACAGAACATAAGGGCAGGAATCAAAGGGGCTACTGTGTGAGCAGAGGCATCTCAAAAGAGGAGCTTGTGCTTTCTTAGTGTGAAATTTGAAATAGGGAGAAAGCAAATGCACAATTTAACCTCTTATTTGATAGACTTAGTGTGGTTTGACAAGGCCACAGAAACTGATGAGCTAAGGTGATGGAGGGACTGGTTTTCTTTCACTTCATACCTGAACCCCAGCTTTAGTGCTGTTTTCATATTAGTAAAATAATGAGGAGAATTCGGCTTAATAGCTGTTTTCACAGAGAGACAAGCTACAATATTTAAATACGGAGCTTGAACCTCCTGCAGAATCAGAACATTTCTATACCAAGAATTTTTATTTAGCTGCATTCTTTAGGGATGTATGCAGCACATGGACTATTTTACATTTCTTGGGTTTCAGAGGTCTGCATTCTTCAAAGACTGCTTTTCCTCATTTGCATAATGATTTCACCACAGTATTTTCCTGCCCAGCATCTGAATCCTAGGATAACAACATATGCCTTAGCAGTGTCATTTACTCAAGCTCTAAATGCTAAGCTGTTCAACAGAAAATAATCCAATGGACATATAATCACATTTACACTTGTATGATTCTCTCCAGCCTGACCTGTTTGTAAATTGGAAGCATACTCTTTGCAAGTATCACATGCTCAAATTCCCATTAAATCTTAGTAATGTGGCAGTGCTCAGCACCTCTGACTGGTTCATCTAAATTTGTCTGTATTTAATGTGTGCTCTGGAAAAGCAGCAAATGCTACCTGTATTATACAGTAGAAGCAGGAGGTACCTTTGACTACAGTGGGCAGATTTTCCCATTTCTCATGCCACTTCCATTTCCTGTGCAAAACACAGAGCCTTATTCACAGAGTTTTGTCAAACCCTGAAAGCAGTAGCAAACCACCAAAAGAGATTTTTTTTCCATTAGTAGGGCCCCTGAAGGAGTGCTACATAAAAAAGCACCTTTGCTTGTGCGCAGGAAAGAACTAATGGTCAGGCTGAGTGGGGGTGGAGGTGGAGGAGGGACATCACAGGGAGCTCTTGGAGAGAGCTGCAGCACTTGGGCACTGAGAATCACCTCAGCAGAGGGGAGAATCCCACTGGGTGAGTTTTGTGGAGAAGTAAAGGGAATCGACCTCACAGAGTCTTTTGGGGCTGGTGGGTCCATGCAAGGACAGCAGCACAGGACAGTTCTAGGGGACCAAGTGTCCTAAGCTGTGCAGAGAGGAGAGAGATAAGATAAAGCAGGAACAGGATGTGTTGTCTGCACTCAGAGCAGCCTGCTGTGACACCGATACCATCCTCTGCTTATTTACTGCAGGGTGGTGTCTGGGTTACAAAATTCTCCTGCTATAGATGTGAAATAGATATGAAAAGTATGTCAAACATTTGGATCGCTGTTATTGGTTGGTTTTTTTCTTTTAAATGAGACTTAAAATACTTGTAAAACACTGGTAACAGATCTCTTCCTGTCAGTAAGCCAGGTAAAGGGTCAGACATCAGAATATATGCTTGGTAACAGTGGCTTAATTTAGGAATATCTGCTTAGAGGAGTTTCCCTCATTCACAAAAGCAAACAGACTGAAAAGATGGGAGTTAGTCTGTAATTACTGTAGGATAAGACCATAGATATTCATTCAAACCTGAAAAAGTATATACTTACTCTTTTCAAAAAGCATCGGGCAAGAAGCTCAGGGTTTTCAATGCAATTTTCTATCTCCTTAAGGAAAATCCTGAGAGGGAGAAAAAGAGAGTAAAGAGTAATGTAAAATCCCATTCACATTGTATGTTAGCTTGTGTAAATCCAAATTAAGCCTTCATTTTTGTAATATGAGGAATCAATGGGGAAGGTAACACACCAAGAAATATATATTTTAGAAAAATGGGATGTGGCTGCCACCTGATTCCCTAAATCACAAATATTATCATATTTTATCTGCGACATATGATTCCTTTGACTGTTGAAATTTGTTTCATATCTGTAAACCAAATACCTGCTTTCCATTTGGGTATGAGGATTTTTCAGAATAGCTAGAAAAGACAGGAATGCTCTGTCAGATGTAGTTGCTCAATCAGCAAGCAGTGAAAATATGGGATGTAGTCCAAAGGCTTCTGCAGTGACAGTCAATGCACAAAACTTTTAGGGAGAGAAAGATTGGGCTTGCAAAGGGAGAGGAATATCCTTCTCCAAGTGGGAGACACAATCTTTGAAAATAATATATAAACTGGAAAATAATTTTGTCTACTAGGTATTAACTACTCTGGCATAATATCAAGACTTGCAAAAGAGATTTTTAAAATTTATTTTGTTCAACCATTTGTTACGTCTTACAGGCAATTATTATTCAAAAGGATTCCTAAATTCCCACTTTGGTTACAGTGACAGAAAAGGACTGGACGTGATGGTGGCACCCAAGGATGCAGGATAACCACCAGTTCCCAGGTACCTGTTGTGGAAATAGTAGATTTCTGGGAGGTTCCCAAAAAGAACTTCCTTCTTGTTCTGAAGTGCAGATGGAATCAGATGTACTAAATTGGGATTGTCCATTTCTGAAGCATACCCCTGCAGAGAAGAGTGGAAAATAAAATCAGCCTGTTTTTACCAGGGAAGAAGTACTGTGTTCAAGGCACTGGAAAGCCCCAAAGTTCATGTGCTTTTGTTCTCCACAGAGCAAACAAAGCTTCTCCCATGCCTGCTGCTTTGCTGCTCCCATGAATTCCTGATGTTTCTGATTTTCCCCAGAGATTTTACCCTGTAACTGTGCAAACACATTTTAACCACAAGTGAACAGGTCATGGGGTTAAGAAAAAATGGACAAAATTATGTCTCTAGGATTCAAAAGCCATTTGGGTCATGTAGGGATGGAGACTGCTAATATTGACAGACAGATATCTTTCTGCTACCCTGCTTCATTGCACAAGAGTTAGTTTGGATTTGTTTCTTGTAAAAACTGTATTGTGTTTCTTCAGTAATAACTTTGAGGAAAGAACATTCATACTTTAAACTCAAGAGTAATATATCAATTACCAGAGCTGCCAGCTCCCGTGGAACAAATGCAATGAAGAATCAACTACACATCCCAAAAGTCTCACCCAAATATAAGCATGATTGATCCCTACTCATCTTCTGTCCTCCCACAGACTGAGGATCTTAGACTCCACACACACTGAGTATGCTGGTATCCTATCAGTTTCAAAAGCTCAAGAATTATATTTGCAGCATGAGCTTTTTTTTTCTGTGTTCAAGCACAACATGAGACAATAAAGAAGAGCAGGAGGGGTGTCTTCCTCTTCCTCAATCATTTTTCAAATGCAGATTCACAGAATTTACTGTCTGGCCCCCTGGACATCAAAGTGCTGCTTCTGAGACCTATTGGTAATATTTTGAAAGGACATTATTAACTCTTTCTCTGTCCATAACTTTCAGAACCATGCAAACTGCCATTCTGTGGGCTTGGGCCAGAGAAGGTGCCTTTTCCTTTAAGGCCTGAGGCAGGATGTTCAAAACATCCTTCCCATTCTCCATCTCCAAGGCTGAGCTCTCTTGCCAACACTGCCTGTGTGTTATAAACAGGAGGTGGGAGTGCTCAGCCCATGAAGGATGTGCACCTGCAGTGATGACTTAGAGGTTAAGCATCAGAAAGTAATTTCAGAAGAGTTTCTTACCTCTATTATACTTTGAAGTTCTTCCACATAAACCCGTTCTGTTTCTATCAGCTCATTGATTATGTGGCTGAAAGACAAAAAGGTGGAGAGTCATAGTGTTAACCAAGCACATGTGAAAGAGAAAAAATAGGATTCCTTACATATTCCTGTTTATGTCTTCAACTACACACAAAAACCCTCTGAAGGTCATTTCTCAGTTCTTCAATCCTGGGCCTTGTTGATAAGATTAAAAGACCTAAGCACATCTTGGACTGTAATTTTTTTCAGCTCATTTTAAACTTCAGCTCGGATTTTTCTGTCACTTTTATACCTGCAAACTGGAAAAAAAAATTCCCAAGAAGAAAAAAAAAAGTGTTTTTTTCTAGGAATAACTAATACTGAATAAAATGAAACTGTACTTCAGAGCTATGCTACTGTTTCTGTTTCATTTCTTTTATAAAATAAACAAAATCAGTGGCTACACTTCCATCCTTTAATACAATGCAAAAATTTTGTCAGTTTGAAAATAGGAAAGTAGATTAAAATCTTTTTACTACATTTTGAACATTTCATTTCTAGTATTAGTTTAATGCTTCTAGGTAACTTGAAGACATATATCTTGAAGATTGCTGACATTTCACAGAAACATGAATGCAACCAATTCACTATTGAACAAATAGCTAATTAGATTTTAAAATAAAATTGCATTAGATTTCTTATGTTTTTGTGCATCAAATGTTCCATATTATCTAGAAAGTGTTGTCTTTATTAGTGTTACAAACAAAGTTTTCAGGGTAGCTCCTCCAGAGGTGTGAGCAGTAGGAAAGGACAAGTCCTTGGTGTTCTTTTCCTGGTCTGTGCTTCTCGAGAGTTTTTAAGCACAGCTATCTCAAGCCAAAACACATCCCCATAAGGACACTAGGGAATAATGTCTCGAGGAACTGGAGTGTGGCCAGCCATGAGCAGCACACAACCTGAGGCCAGTACAGTCTAGGCAATTCTTGGCATCAATAGCAGCACATGCATTCATCCAGCATCTCCCTGCACACACTGCCTGTGCCTGCTTACCTGGCTCTGTGTGTCACACAACAGCCACACCATCAGCCAGACCCTGGTTACCTGGCTCTGTGTGTCACACAACAGCCACACCATCAGCCAGACCCTGGTTACATGGCTCTGTGTGTCACACAACAGCCACACCATCAGCCAGACCCTGGTTACATGGCTCTGTGTGTCACACAACAGCCACACCATCAGCCAGACCCTGGTTACCTGGCTCTGTGTGTCACACAACAGCCACACCATCAGCCAGACCCTGGTTACCTGGCTCTGTGTGTCACACAACAGCCACACCATCAGCCAGACCCTGGTTACCTGGCTCTGTGTGTCACACAACAGCCACACCATCAGCCAGAACCCATCACCCCTTTAGATTATAAATCATGGCTGTACTGTTGCATCCACTCTAAGGGGATTTCCTTATTCTCCACAATTTTTTAGGATGTCCTTTTTGAGGTTAAAAAAACCATCCCACTTCTGCTAAAGCCTCATTTGAATGGTTTGGTCAAGCATTTAAAAACAAAATAGCCACATTTCAGCTAGCAGTTTGACATGCAAAAGCACTGACTAAAATGTTACTTGGCTACTACAGTAGATTCACTGGTTTCCTTTGGACTTCCCCAGCCCTTTTCAATGAAATGTGGTTTTGTAGGCTAGCTGGGGACCACTTATTCAGGTCTCAAAGGCTATTACTCCTTTATGGACCACTGCTTGAGAAATATTATGAGTATTGAAAAAAACAGATCAACTGATGTTTCAGATTTTGTTATAAAATAGCTGGGATTTCATAGCTGTCTTGGCATAATGCCTTAAATTGCAGTGTCAAGCACAAGGTAGGGCAGTGGGTGAGGGCTGTACCAGTGCTCCCCTGGCCACACTCAGGTCCCATTGGCCACTCTTGCACTGGCTGTGGGCTCCTGGTGATTCTCTCTGCTCCCTTCAGGTGTCCCTAGTTTGGGAGACTCCCCCAAAATGTTCCACTGCTGATTGTGCCAGGACTGGAGCTGCTCCATGACTGTCACAGGCAATGAGAGGAGCTTAGAACACACCTGCTGCCACTATCACATTTAACCAAAGTATGAGGCAGCAATTGACAGGATTATCGTCACAGGCAGCTCCTCCCATCCTCTTTCCCCCTTTGATATGCATGACTAGATTAGAAATAATTTTTATTGTAACTGGGATGTGTGAGGTAAAGGGGCAGGGGAGAACTGCCACACTGTATTGTTCATTCATTTCAGAGAAATTTTACAAGAATTTGAGGTTTGCATGGCAGCAGTCCAAGCACAACAAAACTCTGAGCTGGCTGAAGTTTATGGGCAGTTCTGACAAGGATAACTCCTCACCAGGATCATTCCCAAGCAAACTGGCCATCTCAGCAGGGATGATAAAGCATTAGGCATCTGACCTAAAGGTCAGAATCTGAGAAATCCCTAAGGTCCTCTCTGTAGGCATCCTTGTTGCTAGTAAAACTCGTTCCACTCAAGCGTACTTCCTCCTTGCCCCATGAAACAAAGAGATTCATCAAACCAGCAGAGTTAGCCAAAGGCAGAATATTCTGGTCCCAGAAATACCTGACTCAGTAGCTTTCCTGGCATGGAAATAGTGATGTGCACTGCTCAGGAGGTCAAGGCCAGCTCTCCCTGTGGAGGGAGTTAAACATGTCCTAGCAGAGGGAGCTCAGCAACCAGCAGCCTGGCAAAGCCCTGAGCACGGCAGGGCCCCTGCTGCCACCCCTGCCTGGCAGAACTGGGGTGTGTTTGTGGCAGGGATCACACACAGACTCACTGATACCATGCTGTCAGATTGTTCCTCCAGCACAGGAAACTTCTTGGTATGGAACTTAATTACAATGCACGAACTAGCTCACATTTCCTTGAATGATTGATCTGGGTTTCTAAGGAAACACTGTGGCCTTGGATACACCAAGACCGCATTTCCCACAAGGGGGGTTTTACAGAGGTGCCATTTGGGCTGTTTTTTGTCACTTCAGCAGCTGTGATATCCTGTGCCCCTGCAGCACCACTGAGATCTCACACATTGAGCCACTTATCATGACTCCCAGCTTTGAGAAGCCCTGAAGTGCCAGCACAATATGGATGATAAGAAAGAGAGAGTAATAAGAAAACAATTTCTGCTTTGTCAATAGTGCTGTCTCTGGCAAGTTAGTTATGCCATGCTGCAGTGAAGAAAAAAATTATTTCACAGAGGAAGTTCCTCAACAAGGGTTACAATGTAGGAGCTGCAATGGACAACAAAGCATTGGGAAATGCTTGTTTTTAGCCAAAGTTGTAAGTGAAACCTTGAAACTGAGGTAAACTCTGCTATTACCTATCACCCTTGACTTTTAGAGATGCATTTCTCTATCAGCCCCTGCCTGTGCTGGTATTTAGATCAAAGGTAGTTATTTATATCACTTTGCACTGTGCAAAGAGCAATTAGCAGCATTGTTGTTATAAGTATAAACTTACCCTGCACTGTATTGTGTTTTTGCAACAAAATTTTGTCAGTGGGTGTTTCTGAGCTGGCTTCTTCGGGTAACTGAGAGCACACTTCTAGGAAGGGCTCATCACAGTGACCATAAAGGAGACACATATCAGATCATTTCATCTCAGTAACTCTTTCTCCTTCCTTCTTCTTTAACAACAGAATGAAAAAGAAACAATTGAATAGTTGGCCAAGTTCCCCAGGGTTGTCAGGTCATTCTGCAAGTCTCTGTCAAAATTATTTTGGCAGGATGGTTTCTCTGCTGTGATGTGCTGCCTTAAAAAACCCCCATCAAATATAATGAAACACTAAGCAGGAATATTAACCAGAGATTACCACAACCTATTAATATCTCCTCTGGCTAAATCTCAATTGCTTTGTCCTCATACAGTTACTATTTGTGCATCCTGCTCAGATGACAATATAAACTAATTCAGGATTTTTGTTTCCATAGCTGTGCTTCTCTGACAAACTCATTGGCTCACCTCCACTCACAGACCCTGTTTCTATGCCAGGATCTGCTATCACACATGCCTGTCCTGATAAGGAGTCTTTTCTCAGAACAGGAATTGAAGCCATCAATTAGAATTAAACCAGGGAGTTTTTCTGAAAAGAGACCCTGGTATAAATCATAACTGGTGCTACAAAATTATTGTGCTGCAGAAAACCTGACTGCGTGACAGGTGTGGAACCAGCAGAAATGGCAGTCACGCATGAGCTCTCCATACCTGTCTTACAAAAACACATGGTGCCTAGTACATGGAACAGGAATATTTTCAACAGTCAGAACAGCAGAAAATGGGTATGCAAGAGCAAAATATTTAATTTAATAAATTAATTTTAAAAACACTCCCATCACTTTTATAAATATATCTAATATAGAGAGCTACTTAAATTGAAAATACTGTCTCTTTTAATACCTGAGGCTTCAAACACAATAGGAAGGACTGAAAGAACCTGTGTGCTGTGTAATGGAAACATAAACACAGAAAAAATATCAACATTGGATAGACTTGGACTTAAGGGAAATCAGAGTGAATAATTTACTGGCTTGCAAAAATGAGCACAGTGGTAAAAACCTCCCTGGTCCAGCACTCTAGCTAGTTCTAAGTACTGTGAAATTTCTATTTCTGAATGTAAATAAAATTTAACAAAACTACCATTTATTTGCAATGGTAACTTCTTTGTAGGTAGTATATGATGAAAGTCTCATTGCAGAAACAGAATCAGCAATAAATATCATATACAGTTTTGAATTAGAAATCACTACAAGAAATTCTAAGACTGGTCTAATTGTAAAATCTCAAAATTATCTCAGTGCTATGGAATGAAAAGAAATGACAGCATGTCAATAGCTGAGTAGAAGAAACTTCCATTCCACCTACATAATTGCATTTAAGAGGAATTTTTTTGTTGTTTTTCACAGTGCTAAAAAGGCCTTTTTGAGTAGAAAAGTATTCTCAACTGAGGTTATGCAATTGCTCAAATGAAATTTGAGTAATGAGTCAGTTGCTGTACTTTACCTCCTAAAGTGAAAAGTAA